TCCGGGTGCGATATTTTTTATTACACAACTATCTATGGATCGAGAACCTGCACTGACATTGATGACATCACACACGTTGACGCCGCTGTCGTAATTATGAAAATCGGACTCGTATGAAAATCGGACTCTTTTCCCCTTTTATTGGTTAAACCCTCTCACGTGCCCGATCCCTCTCCTAATTATCTATGCATGAGCATGCACAATACCACCAATGAGTCCGTATTTCATAAAACCGCGGAACGGCAACCAGATGAGGGCGCCCTATATAAGCTAAGGCATTGATCTCCATTACTAATGAGATCAACCTCGTTCCCATGGGTACGAGATCTTGCTGCGCCATGTTGTTTCCCATCATGTCATGGAGTCGAGGCTGTAATGAGATCAATGAGCCAGGGCCATTAATATTACGCGTATGGATTGAATTCTGAACAAAGCAAAGTACGCGTACGGTTTAAACACAGCAGAGTACTAAGTCCGACTTGGGTCAAGTCTACGCTGTTCCAAGCGGACGATTATGGGCACTATGGGACAATAGCGGTCATGTAGTTGCTAAGGCAAAGCGTCTGCCGTTGTAAAACAAAGCTAATCCGATTACGTACTTGGACGCTATAGCAGAGCAGTGAAATTCATGCACCACAAAAAATATTGGCCTTTTGAACGTTGTGTTTCTATGCACAATATGATTGAAAATTAAATTATAACGGAAGAAGAAATTCTAAACTTCATGTCAGTGAAATAATCGCCGTCATCAATGCCGGAATCTCAATACTGTTTACTGTCAAAGCTGACCTTCAAGTCTGGAAGAAATCGTTCGAAAACTTCTCCAAATCTCTGTATTTATATCAATTTCTAGGGATTTCTCAAAATTGTTTTTTCAGAGTACTTGAACCCTTATATCATCTAAGTATCTTCCGAATTTCAGCTTAATCTGTTGTTGCAAACGCTAGTGTTACACTTTCAACTATCTCCATGGAAAATTTCGACGATGATTTCTGCCACCAAGTCATGCATGCATTGTTCAGCAAAGCGCCTTAGGCGCTACGGTTGACCGATTTCAGCCAAGCCACACAATATCGTATTGTAGATTAGCATATTCATTAGCGTCACTCGGCGTGTTTTGGCGTGGGTCTCGGTATCGACCAATGAAAGCCGGCAAAAAGGTTGATATTTATCAATTAATAACTCGTGAAGGAGGATTTTCTCAATTTTTTTACTGCACACTATAATGGATAGGAACTTGGTTGCATGTAGATATGGACTTCCAAACGGGAGAAATTAATTTTCAAAGATTTCGCCCGCCAACGTGAACATTGTGTGTGCACATGTAGTTTCATTCAAAATGAAGTGTTACGTAACCTTTAGAAATCGCCCTTCGCAACCGTATGACTGCGTCTATTTCGTAGCAAAACGTTTCTTATGTCACATTTTTGTGCGCAGTAATTCCAGCAGTTAAATTGTTTTCCTGGCAGACGTTCAAGGCAAAGTTATTTGCGTCTCCATTTTCCACCCATACAGTATGCACAGTTGGGCTTCAGCTAGTGACGTCATGTTTTTTTTTCTAGAAGTATTACTGTAAGCGCAATAATTTTATTCAAATGCAAATATTGCCGTGAGGGCAGATTCGGTTAGCGTGAAAAAGGATATGGCTTTTTATCGCGTGCACCAAAGAAAGCCAGACAAAAGAGGTCAGTCCCAAGGCCAGTGTTGTAGTCGAGACCGGATAGTCCGAGACCGAGACCAAGACCGAGACCTGAAGATTCGAGACCGAGACCGAGACCGAGACCAGCCCCTTCAAGGCGGACCGAGACCGAGACCAATATGGTCCGAGACCGAGACCGAGACCGAGACCGCTGATAATGAATAACAAAAGTCGAAATTAAAAAAAAACAAGACACGTTATTATAGTTGAAAAATTTACCTTTCTATTCACAAAGAATACAGACCAAAATTTCGACCAGTGGCAGTGTTGACAAATTGATACATGACACCTTACTTGAGCAAAAAGTAGTTACACTTAAGAAACATGGGCTTTGACATGTTGTCTACACCCAATCGTGACAAAAGTAAAAAGTTAAGGGTAGATGTTTCATCTGTTATAGGAACTCGGATCCTAAACTCCACATTCACCCCCTTGGTTTCAGCTATGACTTCTAACGGATATTTAAAGATGAAATTTTAATTTTACATTGCCTCTTTTTTCCTAAAATAAATTTAGGACTTAACTTCTAACAAGACTTGTGTACTTGATTTTAAAAAATGGGAGCTAGAAAATGTTGAATTATTTTTTAAATTTTTGTCATAGAATGTGGACTTGTACATGTAGACCCACAAGTTGCGAGGTGGTAGCCAGAATGTGCTAGATATGGATTTTTATTTTTTTCTGAACGGGATTTTTAATTTTTGAGGAATAATGGGGTACTTTAAAATGAGCAGCCAGAAAATTGGGTCTCATCATACACTCTCATGGCAACAGTGGGTGGTAACTTGTACATGTAAGGGGCCATTCAGAATTTTCAATGTTTTAAAATTTCGACTTTTTTTCCAAATTATTTTGACCCACCCACCCACCCCTAATTTCGATTAATAAAAAAACTGAACATGACTGTACATGTACATGCACTTGCATGTACATGTACTTGAACACCATGTACATGTACATGTGTGTCTAGTTCAGTGGCGGCGTGAAGTTGTTGGTCATCCTCTTTTATGTGATAAAATATGTGATACCTCACCAAAAAGTATCTTTTAACGAAATTCAATCAGAATATTTATCCATTTTTTTTTTTTAAATGTTTAATTGTTTTACTTGTTGGTGTCCCTGCCACACTGTACGATGGCGTAGCCGTGCGTTATGCACGTGGATTGTATACTTTCGTTTTGACGGGGACTTTACTGAATAGAGTCTGGTGACTGTACATAGAAATTTCTTTGAATAAAAGTCGAATCGTTCATTGATGTGCACTTGTTATGCAAAGCAGGGGCAGTGGTTCAAGGATATCCAGTCGACCTGCAGAAAGTGTGCAAGAACGCGACTTGAATGCTTTTATGTGTCCACAATACAACGACGCTTTTTAGTTATTTCACTGTGTGACACAGTGAAAATTTTTGGAATCATAGGCCTAATGGCGTCAGCGATACTTGCTGGGGAGCTCTTGCGTACGACTTTCTGTACTTTGGTACTGTTATTTCCAGGACAATTGTGTGTACGGTAACCCGACGTACCAAGATTTTTAAAGACGAAATTGCCGACCTCAAACTTGTTAGTGCCATATTTGGCAACTATATGTGCGTTATTAGTTTAATTAAACAAATGAACAGGTTAATTATACATAGTACCATTGAAGGTACCTAAAAGTAAACATAACACCATAGAAGACCGACAGACGAACATAAAATGTTACAAAATAAACATATTTGTCTGGATAATTTTTTTAGGGTGTTACCGGAAAGTTAACACAAACTTGGTGTCAAATAGATCATGAGAGTTACTTTTCTTTGACTTTTCATACAAGTTTACATAAACTTTAACTGTATGACCTGCAGTGGCGTAGCCACGGGGGGGGGGGGGGGGGGCGTGGGAGGCGCCATCCCCCCCCTCCATGAAACCTTGTCGCCCACCCCCCAGTCGCCTCCCCCACTGAGATTTTGAGTTTCGAAAAAAAATATCATTGATCTACATGACGCCCCCCCCCCCATGAAATGTTCAAGCCCCCCCCCCCCCACACACACACACACTGAAAAATTCCTGGCTATGCCACTGACAGTACATACAGGGGACGAAGTTGGAAAAGAAACACGCATCGCGATATCGGAACGTTTGCGCGTTTGCAAGTCAAAAGATCTATCTTTCTTTGTTTTTGTATCTTTTTTTCCATGGAAAGTGAATTTCGATTTTCAATTATTTAGCTTGACCCACCCACCCACAATTTGGAAAAAAGATCGAAATTTTAAAACACTGAAAATTCTGAATGGCCCCTAAGAGTGTGTGAGTTCAAAGCTGGAAAATCAGGTAGAAAAATTTAATTAAAAATACTGTCAAAATACTGTCCCAAATTAAAGAGAACATTGTGTGGGGTCGAAAATATAACTAATTTGAAGCACCTCATTTAATATCAGAATACAAAATGCAAGTGATTACGCCCACAGGGGTGGGCTAAACTACACAATCCCCGAAAATGGTTGACACTTATTGCATAAATTGTTACATGTACAAGTTTATACTTTGCTTTATGTGGCCGATTCAACAGATAAATGCCGAACTTGTTCCAAATCGTTCAGTAACTGGTACTGCTGGAGCTTTACATGTACTTTGGGGACTTTCCAACGTGCAGGCGAGTCCAAACCGACCGCGATATATAACAAGCTTGATCTACGGGCTAGCAAATGTTTTAAATAACAACGGTACTGAACGAAGAGAACACAAAGTAATCGATCGAGCTGTAAAAGCTACAATATTGCCGGTCTCGACCCGAGACCAGCCAAAATATCGAGACCAAAGGGGACCGAGACCGAGACCAAGACCGAGACCACAGCTTCCGAGACCGAGACCGAGACCGAGACCAGCAAAAAGTGGTCTCGAGACCGGTCTCGAGACCGAGACCGGTCTCGAGACCTACAACACTGCCCAAGGCACGGCCTCCATTTGCTCAACAAATTGCGAACCACTGCTAAACTTGGAAGAAAAAAAAAAACAGCCAAACCGGTCGCGGTCATGCATGATCGCACTAGACATGATTGGAATCCGAAGGGGTCAGGTATATTAGCACTCATGACTTTGCTGTTAGGAATGCTGGTCTACAAAAAAACAACTTGCGTCCCAGAAATAGGTGTGAAAATTGGGTTACCGAGCAATATTATATAGGTCTAGTTATCGGCTATACGCCCATAGCGCGCTTCAACAGACCGACACGTATATGATTATATTAAACCCTACCGACGGAGCCAGTCTGTGAGTTTCTCACACCACAATTAGCAAGGTGTAATACGGTTAGGCGACTGATTATCCAACTTGGATCTTGGATGCTTACAGACGCTGGCTTCATGAACTTGGACTCCAAAAAGATGAGCAGAAATTGGGCGGACCAGAAATGAATCACACATAGGACAACATTGGACTGTAGTAAGGCCGAGACGCAGGTTAGTGATGGTGTACGGGGAGGGCAGTAGTTTTTGGCGGGCATACATGAAGACATTTCATTTAGTTTGAAATAGTGGAAGACCACACTATTTTGTGTCAGGAATAGTTTAAACTTAAGATAACGAACATTGAATTCAAGAAAAGAGCAGACTTAAGCTTAATGCATAATAATCATAATCCGATATTACTGTGATGGATTATGTCTGTGTCAGACAACGAAGATATCTGGAAGCTATTTTGGTGGGATGTTCAGCCGGATAGTAACATGGACATTATTGACTAACCGACTCACTGATGACGGAGTGACCGTCCAACTGACATTGTTACTGAGTAACCTTTTTTTAGCTGAGAGATAATGTAATACTTGACATGGAATTCGACGCGGCAGAAGTCAAAAAAATTGTTTAACAGATTTTATGACATCTCACAGACTCTGCTCTTGATTGGCCGAGATCTCGTCACCATGGTATACTAATATTGTCAGTGCGACAACGTATATACCGCGCCCCAACGCACATACCTGCCTGATGACATATTCAGGCAGCGAATGCAGAGCTCGAGCGCTTTTTGGCCGCTGACCGATATAGCGCAGCGTGATTTTCCGCATGGCGGAAGCCGGGCCGGTGCCTCATGTGGACGGCCCAACGTGGCCGCCCGTGCACGGTGACATCATTTTTGCCGGCGCGCGGTTCGCACCGTTCGCCGTTTTGGAACGGTCTACTTTTTCATCCTTTTATTTTATTTACGAACCAAACTATGCATTTCTGTTTTATTTTTGTATTCTTCTACTATAATTTCAGATTAAAAGGTTTTTTTCCAGCACACACAGGTCGTCAGGCCGACCATAATGGTAGGCCTACATGTACATGTACGCACGCACGGTAATTGTTCGACAGAAATAAAACCTACATAAGAAACGCAAACCAATTCACAATAACTCGTCAACCCCATAATAATTTGGGTTTGATCATCAGAAAGACTTTTATCAAATAAGCGAGTCGTTATAAAACTAATCGATTGCTTTAACTCGTGACACAGTAAAAATGGCCTCCCCCAGTGATCAGTGGAACGTTCTATTTTCACTCTGCGTCATCTCGGCAAACCAGAGTACTCCATGGATCACGTGGGGAGGCTAGTTTCACTGCACAATAATAGGAGCAGTCAGTATTTCTATACTATTTTGTCCAGAATTATCCAGATGGGTGCCCATTTTATTTGGATTGTTTTCATGGTAACGTCCGGTTGGTTGAGGGACAGTCAAGCTGGTAAGTTATATTTCATATCTCTTTTTGAGGACTATTGTAGCCAAGAATTGTTTTCAAAAGAATTAAGAGGCTAATCAAATTAATGGGGGAGTTTTGACTACTGATGAAAAAGGTCGAGAACGCTCGTCTTTTTTCTTTAATGTATCAATATAGAAAACACATCAGATCAATTTTCTTGAGGGACTGTGTGCATGGGCGTCACAGGGTTTTTACGAAAGGGTACTTTGTGTATACACTCACAAAATGAGGAACAAAACGGTACCCTACAAATCCGTCGTCGTTCGACCGTGCCCGACAAGGGAAATTCTAAAGAAGAGAGGTGGGAGAGAACAATGCAAGTATCCCATGCAAGTATCCCATTGCGTTCCATGAAAACGCAAAAATAGAACATGATCGAGCTTTTATCTCCTTGATGGTATTGCGCATGTCTTTTTTACCCATGTTCATGTGCCAAGAATAACTACTGCAGTAAGAACTAAAAAATGGTATAATATGGCAGGTAATGCACCTTGTACTTGTATTTTTTTTTTAAATAGATTTTTGTACCCCATCATCAGTTTCGACTTACGATTGCGTCTTTCCAGACGGGTTTGAGAAACAGGCTCGCTTTGGTAAGTGTGTGTACATGTGATGTAAATGCACCTATACCGAATAACGAAAAATACTAAAAAGATATGCGGTACGCTCCAATTTTAATAACAATAAATAGGAATAAATCAAGTCCATGTTATTAACGATAGTAACTTTCACGTAATTTGTGTACTCTATTTTCACAAGTTATTGCTAATTTTAAATTTAATAGAAATACCACAAAAATGTAGCTGTCCACCACTGAGCATTCACCGATACGCATTGATGAATACTATACGATGAAAGAAAACTTGCAAAGCAAAACAGACAATAATCACCATTTTCATTCTCAGAAATAGGACTTGATTTATGTACAAAACAAAATCAGACGGTGAAAGTAATGTTTCAGTCTTGACTCTCATTAAATCTCATTTGAATTTGAATTCCTGTGTGGTAATATCTGGTTCCCACCCAAATGAATAGCTTCAAAATATCTAGCATTCCATGGACAGCTGTAGAAATGTGTTCTTTTGCATAAGTTCTGATAGCAAAGATCAATTTCAGTAACGTTTTTAACAGATATGAAAGAACGTGCTCGCTTAATACGTGCTTCATTGGTGTATCAAATTTGCATGCTTTTAAGGGTAAAATAATTAATCTCTGTCACTTTCTTTATTACTCATCCTGTACTTCTAGCCACTCCACGACTCTGCCTATAGCGTCGCTGATTTAAATACCCTTATTCCTTTGATAACTTACTCTCTAAAACTCAGGATATTCTACCAATATGCATAACACAGAACGGTTGCCCTCTTTCGAGTGTATCGGATCCTGTTTTGGGGAAATATCGCGGGCGAGGATATCAAAAGGGGAGGTGGATCACCCCAAGCACCCCCATCCGCCACTGAATTGGACCTTATACCCCTTCTATCTCAACAATGTTTAATTACTCCTTACAACGTCACTAAAATTCTAAATGTTGGTTGATGGCAACTCAGCCACCTAACTACCCTGAAAAATCCTGGACTTGGTCACTTCAACCACCCCTTCAAATGGAAAGCAATGGATCCCAAGTGTTGACAACGCGACAGTACATTTACAAGAATTAACCAAATAAAAGGGATCATTACTTTTTTTTGTTAGATTCCTTTGCGGTTCAATTCTCAATCTCTGTTACCTTTGTTTTCTCTGTTATGTAGATTCATGCAACCGAACCAATACGTGTCTCAACCCATTATTGCCTACTGTGGCAACCGGGGAATGCAACGGCGTAACGACACAGATATGCTCAGTGGGTAGGTAGGCTAAATTATAGACCTGATTTGATGATGTCACATTTTCAGTGGCATTTTTTAGCCATTGGTTCAATGCATTTAACCCATACCTACGTACTCAATGTGAACCGTACTGCGCAGGCACTCATTATTGTCGTTGCAATGAAGACGCAGTCATTGTGACGTCATGAAATTAGGCCTATTGATTGGATTATATGGGTGTCGCATTATACTGGGAAAGTCCCATAGTAAAAGTCATTGATCTCCATTAGATCAAAATGTAATGTCCATCTACTCTTAGATGGCAATCTCTAAGTGAAAGACAAGATTTTCACTTAACTACTCTAGTGTATAAGAGTTAAACATCCAAATTGCCTCCTCAACTTTGTGACTGTTTTCATTTTGTTTCTAGTACCCACTCAAACAATACTAGGTCTGTTTCACAAGGTAATCTAATTCCTTCTTTATCCAAATCCTACTCAGGAAAACGTCATAACCTCCCTACGACACTGAAACATCCATTGCCTCCCATACTCTTGCAAGTTTTAAGCGCCTCTACACGAACCTGATAGTTTAATATTATATGGTACATGTTTGTCTTGTTTTTGTCTTTTTACTGCCAATGTAGCAACCGTGATTAACCGTGTCTCATCTTACTGTTTATTTATCTTCTTAATTATATCTTTTAATGTATTTATTGCTTGTTTTTCTATTTTATACTATTGTATGTTTGTTATAACTGCTTGGCACCTTTGAAAAACAGTGTTCCACTGAAAAGGTCTCCCAGGATAAACAAGAAATAAATAAATAAATAAATAATAAATAAATAAATTGCTCTCCATTATACAATGAAGATCAATGGTAATATAACTTTGCACAGTGCAAAGGCTTTAGGGATACTTTTCCGAAGACACAGTTACCCATACGTATTTCAATAGATAACATATCAAGATGGCAGACAATAGCCACTAATGTGCCCCCTCCTACGTTATAATAACATACAAACACAAAGTGGAAAGCTTTTTGTTTGTCTTGTAAAAAAACACGAACTGTATCATTGGTTTATACGCATTTTACACATTATAGGTCATGGCTTTTAAGCTGAAAATGTATTACATGTACCTATACTTGCAACATTGTTAAATTTTAAACATGTGTTTGCCGATTTAAAGATGTCCCTTTGTAACGAACAAACTTCATTTTAGAAATTGCCAACTAAATCTCAGTGATCTTTCCTTCATTATTGGTCATATTCTATACCTCGTTTTAAATAGTCCGAGTGCGAAATGATCCACCGCTGAATGACGTATGTTCAAGTTCTCCCTGCAAAAACGGCGGAAAATGCATATCTCAACGAGAGGGCGTCCTGTGCTGTTACTGTAACCCAGCAACGCCTCCGGATTCCGGCCAGGCTTGTTATGGTACGTAGGCGTACACGTTGCTAATGGTTCACCAGCTATAATAGTAAGATACATGTAATTATGACATTTATTTTTTTTTATCACAAAAAATCTAAACAGTATTTTACCCTCATTAAAAATGACCCATTAGTTTAACATTTCTTTCATAGGAACTGATCAGAAAGACAATACAAAAGAGTGGTGACTCTCGGACTCGCTTGAAAATAAAAAAATGTGAATGGAAATTTCATTTTACATACAGGGTGAGTAAAAAACACCTGCAATAATGCAAAGAAGCCATTTTTTGAACTTTGAACATTTGTAACCTTGTAAGAATGGCATTCGTTAGTAACCATTGCGTGACAAAAAAGACATCCTCAAAACAGGACATTTTTTTGGCAAGACCTGCACTTGAATCACTAGACATGTGACGAGTAGTCCAAAGGGAATATCCTTGATATGTTCTACCAATGCCTTGAACTTGTTAGGCACAGGAGATATCGGACAGAAACGTAGAGGATTGTTAACCGCTTTGACACTTTCGTACGTGAATCTTTGATACTTAGACCCTGCGATAATAAATGTCTCGTCCAGAACACCCTGTGCTGCAGATGACGGTGCACCACCAACGATAGATAGTTGCAACGATGTGAGGACGAATAAAGATGTAGTGAGCGATATCATCTCAGACCTTGACGTCACAGCTACCGATAACGTTATGAACTCCTTGCCCATACATTGCGTAGAGACTAGTGGTGCATTACATCTTACAAGCAACGAGACCACTTTCAACTGCACAGCAACTGATACGGCTGGAGGAGAGACTACCTGTACATTCAACGTTGTCTTTGGTACGTTTTACAAGAACATTTTACAAAAATCACTGACAACCGCTTCACTTAATTAGTATCCATCAATTAAATTAATTACCATTGTACTTGATAATGAAAAGGAGCGGGACACTTTATCTTTTTTCTCTTTCCTTTTTTTATTCAACAATAACGAAAACAATAAAGATCAACAAGCACCTGTGATCGACAATTGTCCTTCGGATGTAAGGACCAACAACGCTAAGGCAATCTGGACACCAGACCCTACAGCTACCGACGATGATGGGACCAATCTTGAAGTTAACTGCATTCCAGCCGCTGGTAGTTCATTTCCAGTGGATGCAACTACAAATGTTGTTTGTAACGCGAGTGATGCTGCTGGAAATGAGGCCATCTGCACTTTTAATGTAACTGTAGGTAGGTGTATCAATTCACTTTTGTACTTGATGTAAGTTTTGTCGTTTTCTTCGACATCGCAATTTAATGGCAAACTTCCTTCTTTTATTGAACAATTATTATTTCAGATCAACAAGCACCTGTGATCGACAATTGTCCTTCGAATGTAAGGACCAACAACGCTATGGTAACCTGGACACCAGATCCTACAGCTACTGACGATGATGGTACCACTCCAGAAGTAATCTGCTTTCCAGCCGCTGGTAGTTCATTTCCAGTCGATGAGACAACAAATGTTGTTTGTAACGCGAGTGATGCTGCTGGAAATGAGGCCATCTGCACTTTTAATGTAACTGTAGGTAGGTGTATCAATTCACTATTGTACTTGATGTATGTTTTGTCGTTTTCTTCGACATCGCAATTTAATGGCAAACTTCCTTCTTTTATTGAACAATTATTATTTCAGACCAACAAGCACCTGTGATCGACAATTGTCCTTCGAATGTAAGGACCAACAACGCTATGGTAACCTGGACACCAGATACAACAGCTACTGACGATGATGGGACAACTCCTGAAGTAACCTGCATTCCAGCCGCTGGCAGTTCATTTCCAGTCGATGAGACAACAAATGTTGTTTGTAACGCGAGTGATGCTGCTGGAAATGAGGCCATCTGCACTTTCAATATTACTGTAGGTAGGTGTATCAATTCATTAATTTACTTTATGTATCTTTTGTCGTTTTCTTCGACATCGCAATTTAATGGCAAACTTCCTTCTTTTATTGAACAATTATTATTTCAGATCAACAAGCACCTGTGATCGACAATTGTCCTTCGAATGTAAGGACCAACAACGCTATGGTAACCTGGACACCAGAACCAACAGCTACTGACGATGATGGGACAACTCCTGAAGTAATCTGTATTCCAGCCGCTGGCAGTTCATTTCCAGTCGATGAGACAACAAATGTTGTTTGTAACGCGAGTGATGCTGCTGGAAATGAGGCCATCTGCACTTTTAATGTAACTGTAGGTAGGTGTATCAATTCACTATTGTACTTGATGTATGTTTTGTCGTTTTCTTCGACATCGCAATTTAAAGGGAATATACATCATTTGCTTTTGCTGTAATTTTCAGAAATGGATGGAATTGGGGGGTTGGAAATATAAAGCAAATATAGTTACACTGACTTTTTGGAGGTTTTGGGTTCAAAAATGCTATAAAAACCAAGGAAAACGATCATTTTCTTGTAGTCTGGTTCCCTGACTCCATATAAGAAGAAACAGAGCAGTTTACATACATTGGGGAATTGTAAGGTCAGGGAACCAGTCTAGCTGGCTCGTACCCGTTCATAGGTTTGTAATCGATTGCAAACAAGTGCAATGGTCAATTGGGGCCAGTATTTGAAAAAAAAAGCCAGTTGTTTCCAACGCTGATCGGCCGATCAGCGTTGGAAATTGATACAAAAATACCACTTTTCTTGAAAATGACAGTATACCAGGTGCCATAATTTCACAGGATGCTTTAGACTGTCATTTACCAACATCCTATTAAGGTATTTCGCAAAAACTTGGTAGTTTTATTTTTCGATGTTTGCAAATGATGTATATTCCCTTTAATGGCAAACTTCCTTCTTTTATTGAACAATTATTATTTCAGATCAACAAGCACCTGTGATCGACAATTGTCCTTCGAATGTAAGGACCAACAACGCTATGGTAACCTGGACACCAGATCCAACAGCTACTGACGATGATGGGACAACTCCTGAAGTAATCTGTATTCCAGCCGCTGGCAGTTCATTTCCAGTCGATGAGACAACAAATGTTGTTTGTAACGCGAGTGATGCTGCTGGAAATGAGGCCATCTGCACTTTTAATGTAACTGTAGGTAGGTGTATCAATTCACTATTGTACTTGGTGTATCTTTTGTCGTTTTCTTCGACATCGCAATTTAATGGCAAACTTCCTTCTTTTATTGAACAATTATTATTTCAGACCAACAAGCACCTGTGATCGACAATTGTCCTTCGAATGTAAGGACCAACAACGCTATGGTAACTTGGACACCAGATCCAACAGCTACTGACGATGATGGGACAACTCCTGAAGTAACCTGCATTCCAGCCGCTGGCAGTTCATTTCCAGTCGATGAGACAACAAATGTTGTTTGTAACGCGATTGATGCTGCTGGAAATGAGGCCATCTGCACTTTTAATGTAACTGTAGGTAGGTGTATCAATTCACTTTTGTACTTGATGTAACTTTTGTCGTTTTCTTCGACATCGCAATTTAATGGCAAACTTACTTCTTTTATTGAACAATTATTATTTCAGATCAACAAGCACCTGTGATCGACAATTGTCCTTCAAATGTAAGGACCAACAACGCTATGGTAACCTGGACACCAGATACAACAGCTACTGACGATGATGGGACAACTCCTGAAGTAACCTGCATTCCAGCCGCTGGCAGTTCATTTCCAGTCGATGAGACAACAAATGTTGTTTGTAACGCGAGTGATGCTGCTGGAAATGAGGCCATCTGCACTTTCAATATTACTGTAGGTAGGTGTATCAATTCATTAATTTACTTTATGTATCTTTTGTCGTTTTCTTATCATCGCAATTTAATGGCAAACTTCCTTCTTTTATTGAACAATTATTATTTCAGATCAACAAGCACCTGTGATCGACAATTGTCCTTCGAATGTAAGGACCAACAACGCTATGGTAACCTGGACACCAGAACCAACAGCTACTGACGATGATGGGACAACTCCTGAAGTAATCTGTATTCCAGCCGCTGGCAGTTCATTTCCAGTCGATGAGACAACAAATGTTGTTTGTAACGCGAGTGATGCTGCTGGAAATGAGGCCATCTGCACTTTTAATGTAACTGTAGGTAGGTGTATCAATTCACTATTGTACTTGATGTATCTTTTGTCGTTTTCTTCGACATCGCAATTTAATGGCAAACTTCCTTCTTTTATTGAACAATTATTATTTCAGATCAACAAGCACCTGTGATCGACAATTGTCCTTCGAATGTAAGGACCAACAACGCTATGGTAACCTGGACACCAGATCCAACAGCTACTGACGATGATGGGACAACTCCTGAAGTAATCTGTATTCCAGCCGCTGGCAGTTCATTTCCAGTCGATGAGACAACAAATGTTGTTTGTAACGCGAGTGATGCTGCTGGAAATGAGGCCATCTGCACTTTTAATGTAACTGTAGGTAGGTGTATCAATTCACTATTGTACTTGGTGTATCTTTTGTCGTTTTCTTCGACATCGCAATTTAATGGCAAACTTCCTTCTTTTATTGAACAATTATTATTTCAGACCAACAAGCACCTGTGATCGACAATTGTCCTTCGAATGTAAGGACCAACAACGCTATGGTAACTTGGACACCAGATCCAACAGCTACTGACGATGATGGGACAACTCCTGAAGTAACCTGCATTCCAGCCGCTGGCAGTTCATTTCCAGTCGATGAGACAACAAATGTTGTTTGTAACGCGATTGATGCTGCTGGAAATGAGGCCATCTGCACTTTTAATGTAACTGTAGGTAGGTGTATCAATTCACTTTTGTACTTGATGTAACTTTTGTCGTTTTCTTCGACATCGCAATTTAATGGCAAACTTACTTCTTGTATTGAACAATTATTATTTCAGATCAACAAGCACCTGTGATCGACAATTGTCCTTCGAATGTAAGGACCAACAACGCTATGGTAACCTGGACACCAGATCCTACAGCTACTGACGATGATGGTACCACTCCAGAAGTAATCTGCTTTCCAGCCGCTGGTAGTTCATTTCCAGTCGATGAGACCACAAATGTTGTTTGTAACGCGAGTGATACTGCTGGAAATGAGGCCATCTGCACTTTTAATGTAACTGTAGGTAGGTGTATCAATTCACTATTGTATTTGATGTATCTTTTGTCGTTTTCTTCGACATCGCAATTTAATGGCAAACTTCCTTCTTTTATTGAACAATTATTATTTCAGACCAACAAGCACCTGTGATCGACAATTGCCCTTCGAATGTAAAGACCAACAATGCTATGGTAACCTGGACACCAGATCCAACAGCTACTGACGATGATGGGACAACTCCTAAAGTAACCTGCATTCCAGCCGCTGGCAGTTCATTTCCAGTCGATGAGACAACAAATGTTGTTTGTAACGCCATTGATGCTGCTGGAAATGAGGCCATCTGCACTTTTAATGTAACTGTAGGTAGGTGTATCAATTCACTATTGTACTTGATGTATCTTTTGTCGTTTTCTTCGACATCGCAATTGAAGGGCAAACTTCCTTCTTTTATTGAACAATTATTATTTCAGATCAACAAGCACCTGTGATCGACAATTGTCCTTCGAATGTAAGGACCAACAACGCTATGGTAACCTGGACACCAGATCCAACAGCTTCTGACGATGATGGGACAACTCCTGAAGTAATGTGTATTCCAGCCGCTGGTAGTTCATTTCCAGTCGATGAGACAACAAATGTTGTTTGTAACGCGAGTGATGCTGCTGGAAATGAGGCCATCTGCACTTTTAATGTTACTGTAGGTAGGTGTATCAATTCACTATTGTACTTGGTGTATCTTTTGTCGTTTTCTTCGACATCGCAATTTAATGGCAAACTTCCTTCTTTTATTGAACAATTATTATTTCAGACCAACAAGCACCTGTGATCGACAATTGTCCTTCGAATGTAAGGACCAACAACGCTATGGTAACTTGGACACCAGATCCAACAGCTACTGACGATGATGGGACAACTCCTGAAGTAACCTGCATTCCAGCCGCTGGCAGTTCATTTCCAGTCGATGAGACAACAAATGTTGTTTGTAACGCGATTGATGCTGCTGGAAATGAGGCCATCTGCACTTTTAATGTAACTGTAGGTAGGTGTATCAATTCACTTTTGTACTTGATGTAACTTTTGTCGTTTTCTTCGACATCGCAATTTAATGGCAAACTTACTTCTTTTATTGAACAATTATTATTTCAGATCAACAAGCACCTGTGATCGACAATTGTCCTTCGAATGTAAGGACCAACAACGCTATGGTAACCTGGACACCAGAACCAACAGCTACTGACGATGATGGGACAACTCCTGAAGTAATCTGTATTCCAGCCGCTGGCAGTTCATTTCCAGTCGATGAGACAACAAATGTTGTTTGTAACGCGAGTGATGCTGCTGGAAATGAGGCCATCTGCACTTTTAATGTAACTGTAGGTAGGTGTATCAATTCACTATTGTACTTGATGTATCTTTTGTCGTTTTCTTCGACATCGCAATTTAATGGCAAACTTCCTTCTTTTATTGAACAATTATTATTTCAGATCAACAAGCACCTGTGATCGACAATTGTCCTTCGAATGTAAGGACCAACAACGCTATGGTAACTTGGACACCAGATCCAACAGCTACTGACGATGATGGGACAACTCCTGAAGTAACCTGCATTCCAGCCGCTGGCAGTTCATTTCCAGTCGATGAGACAACAAATGTTGTTTGTAACGCGATTGATGCTGCTGGAAATGAGGCCATCTGCACTTTTAATGTAACTGTAGGTAGGTGTATCAATTCACTTTTGTACTTGATGTAACTTTTGTCGTTTTCTTCGACATCGCAATTTAATGGCAAACTTACTTCTTTTATTGAACAATTATTATTTCAGATCAACAAGCACCTGTGATCGACAATTGTCCTTCGAATGTAAGGACCAACAACGCTATGGTAACCTGGACACCAGATCCTACAGCTACTGACGATGATGGTACCACTCCAGAAGTAATCTGCTTTCCAGCCGCTGGTAGTTCATTTCCAGTCGATGAGACCACAAATGTTGTTTGTAACGCGAGTGATACTGCTGGAAATGAGGCCATCTGCACTTTTAATGTAACTGTAGGTAGGTGTATCAATTCACTATTGTATTTGATGTATCTTTTGTCGTTTTCTTCGACATCGCAATTTAATGGCAAACTTCCTTCTTTTATTGAACAATTATTATTTCAGACCAACAAGCACCTGTGATCGACAATTGCCCTTCGAATGTAAAGACCAACAATGCTATGGTAACCTGGACACCAGATCCAACAGCTTCTGACGATGATGGGACAACTCCTGAAGTAATCTGTATTCCAGCCGCTGGCAGTTCATTTCCAGTCGATGAGACCACAAATGTTGTTTGTAACGCGAGTGATACTGCTGGAAATGAGGCCATCTGCACTTTTAATGTAACTGTAGGTAGGTGTATCAATTCACTATTGTATTTGATGTATCTTTTGTCGTTTTCTTCGACATCGCAATTTAATGGCAAACTTCCTTCTTTTATTGAACAATTATTATTTCAGACCAACAAGCACCTGTGATCGACAATTGCCCTTCGAATGTAAAGACCAACAATGCTATGGTAACCTGGACACCAGATCCAACAGCTACTGACGATGATGGGACAACTCCTGAAGTAACCTGCATTCCAGCCGCTGGCAGTTCATTTCCAGTCGATGAGACAACAAATGTTGTTTGTAACGCCATTGATGCTGCTGGAAATGAGGCCATCTGCACTTTTAATGTAACTGTAGGTAGGTGTATCAATTCACTATTGTACTTGATGTATCTTTTGTCGTTTTCTTCGACATCGCAATTGAAGGGCAAACTTCCTTCTTTTATTGAACAATTATTATTTCAGATCAACAAGCACCTGTGATCGACAATTGTCCTTCGAATGTAAGGACCAACAACGCTATGGTAACCTGGACACCAGATCCAACAGCTTCTGACGATGATGGGACAACTCCTGAAGTAATGTGTATTCCAGCCGCTGGCAGTTCATTTCCAGTCGATGAGACAACAAATGTTGTTTGTAACGCGAGTGATGCTGCTGGAAATGAGGCCATCTGCACTTTTAATGTTACTGTAGGTAGGTGTATCAATTCACTATTGTACTTGATGTATCTTTTGTCGTTTTCTTCGACATCGCAATTTAATGGCAAACTTCCTTCTTTTATTGAACAATTATTATTTCAGACCAACAAGCACCTGTGATCGACAATTGTCCTTCGAATGTAAGGACCAACAACGCTATGGTAACCTGGACACCAGATCCAACAGCTACTGACGATGATGGGACAACTCCTGAAGTAACCTGCATTCCAGCCGCTGGCAGAACATTTCCAGTCGATGACACAACAAATGTTGTTTGTAACGCGAGTGATGCTGCTGGAAATGAGGCCATCTGCACTTTTAATGTAACTGTAGGTAGGTGTATCAATTCACTTTTGTACTTGATGTAAGTTTTGTCGTTTTCTTCGACATCGCAATTTAATGGCAAACTTCCTTCTTTTATTGAACAATTATTATTTCAGATCAACAAGCACCTGTGATCGACAATTGTCCTTCGAATGTAAGGACCAACAACGCTATGGTAACCTGGACACCAGATCCTACAGCTACTGACGATGATGGTACCACTCCTGAAGTAATCTGCTTTCCAGCCGCTGGTAGTTCATTTCCAGTCGATGAGACAACAAATGTTGTTTGTAACGCGAGTGATGCTGCTGGAAATGAGGCCATCTGCACTTTTAATGTAACTGTAGGTAGGTGTATCAATTCACTATTGTACTTGATGTATGTTTTGTCGTTTTCTTCGACATCGCAATTTAATGGCAAACTTCCTTCTTTTATTGAACAATTATTATTTCAGACCAACAAGCACCTGTGATCGACAATTGTCCTTCGAATGTAAGGACCAACAACGCTATGGTAACCTGGACACCAGATCCAACAGCTACTGACGATGATGGGACAACTCCTGAAGTAACCTGCATTCCAGCCGCTGGCAGTTCATTTCCAGTCGATGAGACAACAAATGTTATTTGTAACGCGAGTGATGCTGCTGGAAATGAGGTCATCTGCACTTTCAATGTTACTGTAGGTAGGTGTATCAATTCATTAATTTACTTGATGTATCTTTTGTCGTTTTCTTCGACATCGCAATTTAATGGCAAACTTCCTTCTTTTATTGAACAATTATTATTTCAGATCAACAAGCACCTGTGATCGACAATTGTCCTTCGAATGTAAGGACCAACAACGCTATGGTAACCTGGACACCAGAACCAACAGCTACTGACGATGATGGGACAACTCCTGAAGTAATCTGTATTCCAGCCGCTGGCAGTTCATTTCCAGTCGATGAGACAACAAATGTTGTTTGTAACGCGAGTGATGCTGCTGGAAATGAGGCCATCTGCACTTTTAATGTAACTGTAGGTAGGTGTATCAATTCACTATTGTACTTGATGTATCTTTTGTCGTTTTCTTCGACATCGCAATTTAATGGCAAACTTCCTTCTTTTATTGAACAATTATTATTTCAGATCAACAAGCACCTGTGATCGACAATTGTCCTTCGAATGTAAGGACCAACAACGCTATGGTAACCTGGATACCAGATCCAACAGCTTCTGACGATGATGGGACAACTCCTGAAGTAATGTGTATTCCAGCCGCTGGCAGTTCATTTCCAGTCGATGAGACAACAAATGTTGTTTGTAACGCGAGTGATGCTGCTGGAAATGAGGCCATCTGCACTTTTAATGTAACTGTAGGTAGGTGTATCAATTCACTATTGTACTTGATGTATCTTTTGTCGTTTTCTTCGACATCGCAATTTAATGGCAAACTTCCTTCTTTTATTGAACAATTATTATTTCAGACCAACAAGCACCTGTGATCGACAATTGTCCTTCGAATGTAAGGACCAACAACGCTATGGTAACCTGGACACCAGATCCAACAGCTACTGACGATGATGGGACAACTCCTGAAGTAACCTGCATTCCAGCCGCTGGCAGTTCATTTCCAGTCGATGAGACAACAAATGTTGTTTGTAACGCGATTGATGCTGCTGGAAATGAAGCCATCTGCACTTTCAATGTAACTGTAGGTAGGTGTATCAATTCATTAATTTACTTGATGTATCTTTTGTCGTTTTCTTCGACATCGCAATTTAATGGCAAACTTCCTTCTTTTATTGAACAATTATTATTTCAGATCAACAAGCACCTGTGATCGACAATTGTCCTTCGAATGTAAGGACCAACAACGCTATGGTAACCTGGACACCAGATCCAACAGCTACTGACGATGATGGGACAACTCCTGAAGTAATCTGTATTCCAGCCGCTGGCAGTTCATTTCCAGTCGATGAGACAACAAATGTTGTTTGTAACGCGAGTGATGCTGCTGGAAATGAGGCCATCTGCACTTTTAATGTAACTGTAGGTAGGTGTATCAATTCACTATTGTACTTGGTGTATCTTTTGTCGTTTTCTTCGACATCGCAATTTAATGGCAAACTTCCTTCTTTTATTGAACAATTATTATTTCAGACCAACAAGCACCTGTGATCGACAATTGTCCTTCGAATGTAAGGACCAACAACGCTATGGTAACTTGGACACCAGATCCAACAGCTACTGACGATGATGGGACAACTCCTGAAGTAACCTGCATTCCAGCCGCTGGCAGTTCATTTCCAGTCGATGAGACAACAAATGTTGTTTGTAACGCGATTGATGCTGCTGGAAATGAGGCCATCTGCACTTTTAATGTAACTGTAGGTAGGTGTATCAATTCACTTTTGTACTTGATGTAACTTTTGTCGTTTTCTTCGACATCGCAATTTAATGGCAAACTTACTTCTTTTATTGAACAATTATTATTTCAGATCAACAAGCACCTGTGATCGACAATTGTCCTTCGAATGTAAGGACCAACAACGCTATGGTAACCTGGACACCAGATCCTACAGCTACTGACGATGATGGTACCACTCCAGAAGTAATCTGCTTTCCAGCCGCTGGTAGTTCATTTCCAGTCGATGAGACCACAAATGTTGTTTGTAACGCGAGTGATACTGCTGGAAATGAGGCCATCTGCACTTTTAATGTAACTGTAGGTAGGTGTATCAATTCACTATTGTACTTGATGTATCTTTTGTCGTTTTCTTCGACATCGCAATTTAATGGCAAACTTCCTTCTTTTATTGAACAATTATTATTTCAGACCAACAAGCACCTGTGATCGACAATTGCCCTTCAAATGTAAAGACCAACAATGCTATGGTAACCTGGACACCAGATCCAACAGCTACTGACGATGATGGGACAACTCCTGAAGTAACCTGCATTCCAGCCGCTGGCAGTTCATTTCCAGTCGATGAGACAACAAATGTTGTTTGTAACGCCATTGATGCTGCTGGAAATGAGGCCATCTGCACTTTTAATGTAACTGTAGGTAGGTGTATCAATTCACTATTGTACTTGATGTATCTTTTGTCGTTTTCTTCGACATCGCAATTGAAGGGCAAACTTCCTTCTTTTATTGAACAATTATTATTTCCGATCAACAAGCACCTGTGATCGACAATTGTCCTTCGAATGTAAGGACCAACAACGCTATGGTAACCTGGACACCAGATCCAACAGCTTCTGACGATGATGGGACAACTCCTGAAGTAATGTGTATTCCAGCCGCTGGCAGTTCATTTCCAGTCGATGAGACAACAAATGTTGTTTGTAACGCGAGTGATGCTGCTGGAAATGAGGCCATCTGCACTTTTAATGTAACTGTAGGTAGGTGTATCAATTCACTATTGTACTTGATGTATCTTTTGTCGTTTTCTTCGACATCGCAATTTAATGGCAAACTTCCTTCTTTTATTGAACAATTATTATTTCAGACCAACAAGCACCTGTGATCGACAATTGTCCTTCGAATGTAAGGACCAACAACGCTATGGTAACCTGGACACCAGATCCAACAGCTACTGACGATGATGGGACAACTCCTGAAGTAACCTGCATTCCAGCCGCTGGCAGTTCATTTCCAGTCGATGAGACAACAAATGTTGTTTGTAACGCGAGTGATGCTGCTGGAAATGAGGCCATCTGCACTTTCAATGTAACTGTAGGTAGGTGTATCAATTCATTAATTTACTTGATGTATCTTTTGTCGTTTTCTTCGACATCGCAATTTAATGGCAAACTTCCTTCTTTTATTGAACAATTATTATTTCAGATCAACAAGCACCTGTGATCGACAATTGTCCTTCGAATGTAAGGACCAACAACGCTATGGTAACCTGGACACCAGATCCAACAGCTACTGACGATGATGGGACAACTCCTGAAGTAATCTGTATTCCAGCCGCTGGCAGTTCATTTCCAGTCGATGAGACAACAAATGTTGTTTGTAACGCGATTGATGCTGCTGGAAATGAGGCCATCTGCACTTTTAATGTAACTGTAGGTAGGTGTATCAATTCACTTTTGTACTTGATGTAACTTTTGTCGTTTTCTTCGACATCGCAATTTAATGGCAAACTTACTTCTTTTATTGAACAATTATTATTTCAGATCAACAAGCACCTGTGATCGACAATTGTCCTTCGAATGTAAGGACCAACAACGCTATGGTAACCTGGACACCAGATCCTACAGCTACTGACGATGATGGTACCACTCCAGAAGTAATCTGCTTTCCAGCCGCTGGTAGTTCATTTCCAGTCGATGAGACAACAAATGTTGAATGTAACGCGAGTGATGCTGCTGGAAATGAGGCCATCTGCACTTTTAATGTAACTGTAGGTAGGTGTATCAATTCACTATTGTACTTGATGTAATTTTTGTCGTTTTCTTCGACATCGCAATTTAATGGCAAACTTCCTTCTTTTATTGAACAATTTTTATTTCAGATCAACAAGCACCTGTGATCGACAATTGTCCTTCGAATGTAAGGACCAACAACGCTATGGTAACCTGGACACCAGATCCTACAGCTACTGACGATGATGGTACCACTCCAGAAGTAATCTGCTTTCCAGCCGCTGGTAGTTCATTTCCAGTCGATGAGACAACAAATGTTGTTTGTAACGCGAGTGATGCTGCTGGAAATGAGGCCATCTGCACTTTTAATGTAAATGTAGGTAGGTGTATCAATTCATTAATTTACTTGATGTATCTTTTGTCGTTTTCTTCGACATCGCAATTTAATGGCAAACTTCCTTCTTTTATTGAACAATTATTATTTCAGATCAACAAGCACCTGTGATCGACAATTGTCCTTCGAATGTAAGGACCAACAACGCTATGGTAACCTGGAAACCAGATCCAACAGCTACTGACGATGATGGGACAACTCCTGAAGTAATCTGTATTCCAGCCGCTGGCAGTTCATTTCCAGTCGATGAGACAACAAATGTTGTTTGTAACGCGAGTGATGCTGCTGGAAATGAGGCCATCTGCACTTTTAATGTAACTGTAGGTAGGTGTATCAATTCACTATTGTACTTGGTGTATCTTTTGTCGTTTTCTTCGACATCGCAATTTAATGGCAAACTTCCTTCTTTTATTGAACAATTATTATTTCAGACCAACAAGCACCTGTGATCGACAATTGTCCTTCGAATGTAAGGACCAACAACGCTATGGTAACTTGGACACCAGATCCAACAGCTACTGACGATGATGGGACAACTCCTGAAGTAACCTGCATTCCAGCCGCTGGCAGTTCATTTCCAGTCGATGAGACAACAAATGTTGTTTGTAACGCGATTGATGCTGCTGGAAATGAGGCCATCTGCACTTTTAATGTAACTGTAGGTAGGTGTATCAATTCACTTTTGTACTTGATGTAACTTTTGTCGTTTTCTTCGACATCGCAATTTAATGGCAAACTTACTTCTTTTATTGAACAATTATTATTTCAGATCAACAAGCACCTGTGATCGACAATTGTCCTTCGAATGTAAGGACCAACAACGCTATGGTAACCTGGACACCAGATCCTACAGCTACTGACGATGATGGTACCACTCCAGAAGTAATCTGCTTTCCAGCCGCTGGTAGTTCATTTCCAGTCGATGAGACCACAAATGTTGTTTGTAACGCGAGTGATACTGCTGGAAATGAGGCCATCTGCACTTTTAATGTAACTGTAGGTAGGTGTATCAATTCACTATTGTACTTGATGTATCTTTTGTCGTTTTCTTCGACATCGCAATTTAATGGCAAACTTCCTTCTTTTATTGAACAATTATTATTTCAGACCAACAAGCACCTGTGATCGACAATTGCCCTTCAAATGTAAAGACCAACAATGCTATGGTAACCTGGACACCAGATCCAACAGCTACTGACGATGATGGGACAACTCCTGAAGTAACCTGCATTCCAGCCGCTGGCAGTTCATTTCCAGTCGATGAGACAACAAATGTTGTTTGTAACGCCATTGATGCTGCTGGAAATGAGGCCATCTGCACTTTTAATGTAACTGTAGGTAGGTGTATCAATTCACTATTGTACTTGATGTATCTTTTGTCGTTTTCTTCGACATCGCAATTGAAGGGCAAACTTCCTTCTTTTATTGAACAATTATTATTTCAGATCAACAAGCACCTGTGATCGACAATTGTCCTTCGAATGTAAGGACCAACAACGCTATGGTAACCTGGACACCAGATCCAACAGCTTCTGACGATGATGGGACAACTCCTGAAGTAATGTGTATTCCAGCCGCTGGCAGTTCATTTCCAGTCGATGAGACAACAAATGTTGTTTGTAACGCGAGTGATGCTGCTGGAAATGAGGCCATCTGCACTTTTAATGTAACTGTAGGTAGGTGTATCAATTCACTATTGTACTTGATGTATCTTTTGTCGTTTTCTTCGACATCGCAATTTAATGGCAAACTTCCTTCTTTTATTGAACAATTATTATTTCAGACCAACAAGCACCTGTGATCGACAATTGTCCTTCGAATGTAAGGACCAACAACGCTATGGTAACCTGGACACCAGATCCAACAGCTACTGACGATGATGGGACAACTCCTGAAGTAACCTGCATTCCAGCCGCTGGCAGTTCATTTCCAGTCGATGAGACAACAAATGTTGTTTGTAACGCGAGTGATGCTGCTGGAAATGAGGCCATCTGCACTTTCAATGTAACTGTAGGTAGGTGTATCAATTCATTAATTTACTTGATGTATCTTTTGTCGTTTTCTTCGACATCGCAATTTAATGGCAAACTTCCTTCTTTTATTGAACAATTATTATTTCAGATCAACAAGCACCTGTGATCGACAATTGTCCTTCGAATGTAAGGACCAACAACGCTATGGTAACTTGGACACCAGATCCAACAGCTACTGACGATGATGGGACAACTCCTGAAGTAATCTGTATTCCAGCCGCTGGCAGTTCATTTCCAGTCGATGAGACAACAAATGTTGTTTGTAACGCGAGTGATGCTGCTGGAAATGAGGCCATCTGCACTTTTAATGTAACTGTAGGTAGGTGTATCAATTCACTTTTGTACTTGATGTAACTTTTGTCGTTTTCTTCGACATCGCAATTTAATGGCAAACTTACTTCTTTTATTGAACAATTATTATTTCAGATCAACAAGCACCTGTGATCGACAATTGTCCTTCGAATGTAAGGACCAACAACGCTATGGTAACCTGGACACCAGATCCTACAGCTACTGACGATGATGGTACCACTCCAGAAGTAATCTGCTTTCCAGCCGCTGGTAGTTCATTTCCAGTCGATGAGACAACAAATGTTGAATGTAACGCGAGTGATGCTGCTGGAAATGAGGCCATCTGCACTTTTAATGTAACTGTAGGTAGGTGTATCAATTCACTATTGTACTTGATGTAATTTTTGTCGTTTTCTTCGACATCGCAATTTAATGGCAAACTTCCTTCTTTTATTGAACAATTTTTATTTCAGATCAACAAGCACCTGTGATCGACAATTGTCCTTCGAATGTAAGGACCAACAACGCTATGGTAACCTGGACACCAGATCCTACAGCTACTGACGATGATGGTACCACTCCAGAAGTTATCTGCTTTCCAGCCGCTGGTAGTTCATTTCCAGTCGATGAGACAACAAATGTTGTTTGTAACGCGAGTGATGCTGCTGGAAATGAGGCCATCTGCACTTTTAATGTAAATGTAGGTAGGTGTATCAATTCACTATTGTACTTGGTGTATCTTTTGTCGTTTTCTTCGACATCGCAATTGAAGGGCAAACTTCCTTCTTTTATTGAACAATTATTATTTCCGATCAACAAGCACCTGTGATCGACAATTGTCCTTCGAATGTAAGGACCAACAACGCTATGGTAACCTGGACTCCAGATCCTACAGCTACTGACGATGATGGTACCACTCCAGAAGTAATCTGCTTTCCAGCCGCTGGTAGTTCATTTCCAGTCGATGAGACAACAAATGTTGAATGTAACGCGAGTGATGCTGCTGGAAATGAGGCCATCTGCACTTTTAATGTAACTGTAGGTAGGTGTATCAATTCGCTTTTGTACTTGGTGTATCTTTTGTCGTTTTCTTCGACATCGTAATTTAATGGCAAACATCCTTCTTATATTGAACAATTATTATTTCAGATCAACAAGCACCTGTGATCGACAATTGTCCTTCGAATGTAAGGACCAACAACGCTGTGGTAACCTGGACGCCAGATCCTACAGCTACTGACAATGATGGGACCACACCTGCAGTATCCTGCATTCCAGCCGCTGGCAGTTCATTTCCAATCGATGCAACTACAATTGTTGTTTGTAACGCAATTGATGCTGCTGGAAATGAGGCCATCTGCACTTTTAATGTCGCTGTAGGTAGGTGTATAAATTCAAGCATTACTTTATTGAACTTTATGCATCGTTTGTGGCATTGATTGACATTTTTATTGAACACTTATAATGTTACTATGGGAAGGTCTAATAAACTCTTACTTTTGTACTTTAAGAAACACTTTTTTTTTTTAGTTTTTAGCGACATAACAATTAAATCTAAGTTTCCCTTTTTTATTGAAAAATGATGATTTCAGATCAACAAGCACCTGTGATCAACAGTTGCCCTTTGGATGTAAGGACTGAAAACGCTACAGTCACCTGGACACCAGATCCTACAGCTACTGATGATGATGGGACCACTCCTGAAGTAACCTGCTTTCCAGCCGCTGGTCGTTCATTTCCCGTTGATGTCACTTCAATTGTTGTTTGTAACGCGAGTGATGCTGCCGGAAATGAGGCGGAGTGCATTTTTACTGTAACAGTCGGTAAGTTGTTGTTCAAAAATTAGTCTGATTAAAACATAGTTCTGTTAGTATTCTTCTTCGACCTGCTGATTTTCTTTCCGTTTTGTTATACAGATCCCAAAGTTGTTGTTGTTTCCATGCCGATAAATGAAACTAATGGATTAGATGTTCCTTTCATCGAAGCTTATAACGACATCACTAGTCCAGAGTCGCGAACGCTGTGCCTGCCTGTTGAAACGGCCGTAAATATTCGATTGTCTTTGTTTTGTGATATTGTATTTAATGATATGGGCTAGTTCGTATTTTTGAAAGTTGAAGACTGTATCTTTTCAATATGTTACTTACGTTCAACCTAAGGTTTACAGCTTTACTTCAACACCTTCCGTTGACTTTTGACGTGAGTTAAATTGTCCGATGGTTGAGTATAAATTAACCGAACACACAATGATATTACATTGTCTATATCAACAGATGTTGAAAGCTTTAAGCCCCGAGCTTGCTTCAATTGTGACGGCCAAGTGTAAAGCCATCTACCAAGGCAGCATTATCGTGGACGTGCGCCTGGTTTTCAGTCCTGAAGCTAATAATAGCGCGCCTCTAGGTAGCGCTGTGCAGGGGGTCCTACAAAACGTCATCACAGAAGGCACATTTGGAGCCGGTGGGGGTATTACCTATACCATCAATCCAGAATTGGTGATCGCACAATGTGAGTGCCATAAAAACATTCATCAGCCTAGCTTACCGTTATGTATGGTATGAATTTTAAATATCCCCATGCATGTATTTTCTGGGATTTAAGGCAAAGTACAAATATAGGTTTTCCCGGCCAATTTCCTCAAATGTTCATTCTTTTCTGAAAATCGATCATTAGTTTTCGTCTGAATTTGAATGCACGTCTTTTACTCCCATTCCAATTCAACAAAATTGAATCGTTTTCATTTCCCGTGCATTCGGTTTTGAGAAACAGGCGGCCAATTACGCTACCTGCGCATTCATTTACGCAAGCATACCTTTTCTAAATTGATTTCAGGTACAGCAAATTTGATTGACGGTTAATGAAAAAGAAACCTTTAATTGTATCTGGTACCGATGGCATTAAACTAAAAGTGAAATGGAATGGCGAATGCTTGAAATCGCCCGCTGAATGCATAAAAAGAAGTCTTGTAAACAAATCTGAATGAACATAATTAAACGAAAGGTGCTGCTCAATCACTTAACTGATTGAACTGAAATGGAATTAAATGCTCTGGTAGCGAAAATGAAACGCGTGTTCAGAGCGATTCTCAAATTCAGACGAAAATGAATTACCGATTTTCAGAAGTGAAAGAACATTTTAGGAAATTGGCCGGGAAAACCTATAGTTGCCTGTTTATGGTGTAAGCTAGTCGGGTTCTGTTTTTCAAATGAACCACACAGGGAATAGCACGCCTTCCTTATTGTTGTATTTACATTGACCTATTTGATGTTTGGTATTGGTGCATTTTCCCCTGACATTATTGATTATTGTACATGTGAACTCATATTTTTCATATCATTTCATCTATTTTAAGTGTTTGAAACCTTTTGAAAATACCTCGACAAAAAATGAATACATAAGTTGGATGAACTGCGAACAATTAGTATGACAAAGTGAAGGAACCACGTGGAACCAGTTAACCTCATAAGCCTTTAATTGCTTTTGAATAATATCCTTCATTAATAATTATCACCTTGATTTTTCATCGAAAGATGTTGTCTCCATATTTCAGTGTGATTCACGGAAATAGCACAATATACCTCAATGGGATTCATGCATTAAGACGAGGCCCAGTGATCGTCTTTTTTGTTCTGTTAAATACAGCGGAGTCGATCACGTGCCCTACCGACTATTGCCAAAATGGCGGGGAATGTCTGCGGGAAGGAGCAGTGCCAAGGGTCCAGTTCTCCTGCAAGTAGGTTCTTATTTTATTGCTTCTTCAGCAGTGACAATCACAGTGATAGCAATGGCAATGACAGTCATGAAAGCTTACGGCAACGAAAATAGAGGTTGTTTCTCTTAAGCCGATTTATTTTCGATAGTCTTCTTGTGTGTGTGTTTTTATAACACATGTGCAACTTCTGGCAACTTTCAGAAACCTTCTTCAACTTGTCATTGGTGCATTAGTGTTGTATGCATGTACTTAAACTAACACGATTCTACCACGGCCTTCACACATGTTCATTGTGTTAAAAAGGCATATCACGTTTTGCAGTATGACGTCAAAAACCTTTCTATTGTTTTCTTACTAAAGTTGTTCTGCTGGATTCACCGGTGATGTTTGCCAGACATCAATAAAAGGTATTTTTTTTTAAATAAAAAATCGTGGATGACATTCCAAAAACCTGGCTTTCTGTCTTTTGATTTTGTTTTTAAGTATTTATGGAGTATTTAAGAGCAATGATGTTCCTTTTTGTAAAAATGTTCTTTTACAATACAATAATTAATAGGCCAGAGACATACTGTACAACGGCCAAATAAATGTTTGGTATATGGATTTACGTATGTTGGTGGTCACCACATCATGAAAAATATAATAATTAAATACGCATAATACACCAACATCGAAGTAAAATAGGAAAAGTTAACAGATGATCAGGATATCCGACAGGTTTTTAATTTTCATTTCGAATATTTAATTTTTTTTTTGGATCAAATTTAAACACCACTTACTTAGCTAATCAACATTTTGCAAATGACCTAAACACGTCCTTACAGTGGAAGGCAATAAACAAAAAATCCATTGAAACAAACAAAATTCGCTTTGAAAGTTATTTGGTCCCGTGTTCAAAAATCTTACAGCAAAGTTCTGTTTCCGTCGTAGGTACTCCCCTTGCCGCCATTCTGATCCCGGTAATAGCTCTCGTCTGCCTACTTGTGATAATTGGGGTCTGCACGATGACAAAAGCTGGGTACAAACACTCGAAGCAACCCTCGGCACCCCCGGAACTAAACCTGATGGAGTATGACACAGGGGAGCGTCTGTACCGCACATATCACGGCAGGTCTACTCACGAGTCACGGTTCTCTCATCTCGGCGGACGACTGGCGGTCAATCATCTCGCTTACATCAATCGACAGGAGAATTTTTAAGCGCGTGTTCCCATCCAAACAATGTTCTCTTATGCTATGTCACAGGAGAGATTAGTAGAATCCACTGAATTATTGGCAGAGGGTTTGACATGGGCGTCGCCAGGATTTTTTCTAGAGGGGGGCAACATTTTTTTTGCCAAAAAATGCTTGTATTTCTCAACACACATTCTCGATTTATCAGTTTTAGAGGGGGGCAGGGACATTTTGCCCCCCCCCAACTCATTAAATTTATACCACTTTGTCTTCGCGCCTCTTTTTCTTTTCTTTCTTTGTTGTTGTTGTTGTTGTTGTTGTTGTTGTTGCTTTTCCAGGGCAAGTGCCCCCCCCTTGCCCCCCCCCCCCCCTCGCGACGCCCATGGGGTTTGAGGTTTGCCGATGGCCAAAGAGAAATGTAGGGTCTATATGTTTGTATATAACTAAACTAAGGTACCACTTACAATACCCAATTTCTTTCTCCTATTAACTTTATTGTTAAAAACACATTTACGGTTAAACCAAAAGGTTACCAGATTTCAAAAGAGATTCTTAAAAAAATCATGAAATCAGGAAACATCTTGAAAAATCACACCCCTGTGATGTAAATATGGAAGAAAGAGACAGGGAAAGCGCGGCGTTTTTTTTAAAGTATGAATTTTTGGGTTTTGGGATCGCTGCGTGAAAGATATCTCGTTATCTCGAATGTTCTTAAATTTGGATTGTGGTAATAGATCTCCTGAAGGTTCACTTAAACGGGGCGTTATTGGATATGCACTATTAACCTTTTTATAAATTTTACGCTGAAACTGTATATCGCTTTATTAGGATAGGTGAACTTTTATAGGAGAGATTGATCTTCCATTCCTTTTTATGGATTTATTTCATTATAATGAAACCAATAACAAAGCTTCTATGAAAATCATATATGGCAAAGCAACTTTTGCTCACATTTATTTTAACTGTTGTTTAACGTTGAAATCACCAACTGCAGGCTAAACGCCTGCCATAGAAATATTGAATTATAATTTTGCCGTCATTTGAGGTTCATTAGCTTAAAAAAAGTTCCGACTGCTTTTGGCCGGGAACACATACATATTTCCTCAATTGACTCCATTTTTTTCTCGGAATAACGATGTAAAATTATAATGATGAATATATATCGAGCCATTAAAATATGTCACATCGAGCACTTAAAATATGTCACATTAATATGTAGGCCATTAGTTTTATCATTTTTACGTAATATACTAATGACCATGAAATGTACAAATGGGAAAATTTATTATTTTCATATTTTGTGTAAATATTTTAAGCATACTTTTACGTTAACCTGTTTTACATTTATTTCTTTTGGTTCTTGGGCCCATGTAGTTTACTGAAATTCATATGCATGTAATTGTATTACTTCTACATCTGGTAATTTAATGTTCTTGTGATTTTAATGTATTGTGAATCATTTTGAATATTTTTATATAAAATTTGCGCTTAAAATGACGAATTCCCTATTAGGGAGACACTTTTTGCTTTGCTTTTCTATATGAGGGCGACGCACCTGATTAGGGCGAAAATTTGGTGTTTCCCTACTGTTTTAACTACCATTTGGAGAAGGAATTTTACCGCCACAAATAGGCTAGATCGATTGCTCGTGGTCCAAAACATAAATATACCGCAATTCGTGGAGTCAGATAAGGTAAAATTGGGGTTAGGTGACATTAAAAATGTTGTGCACAAGTCTATGGAAGTGTCGACCTTTTACAGCATTAGTAGTGATTATATTCTCATTGATAAAACTGTATTTTAGTATACAGTAACATACTACCAGGGTGATGGGTGTTCTTAAATAGTAAAGATTATATTAGTCACGTACTTGGAAACAAACTGATATAATTATATTTTGTAGAAATAAACCAGAGTCTATATATAGTAAATGTTTTGCATCTGAACCCAGTGGCGTAGCCAGGAATTTTTCAATGGGGGGGGGGGGGGGGGGGGGGGGGCTGGGGGAGCTGGAACATTTTATGGGGGGGGGGCGTCATGTGTAGATCAATGATAATTTTTTAGAAACTCAACATCTCAGTGGGGGGGGGGGGGGGGGGGGGGGGGGGGGGCGGGGGCGGGCGGGCCGACTGGGGGAGGGGGGGCGACTGGGGGGGGCGACAAGGTTTCATGGGGGAGGGGGGCTGTCGCCCCCCCACGCCCCCCCCCCACCGTGGCTACGCCACTGTCTGAACCCCAAACGTATAATTTCATCGCTGAATATTTGACCACCATCCCATCGCCATGCTAATTCGCCACAAAATCCATCAGGCCTACAGTTGAAATTGGAGGCACACTATGGCAAAGCCAATTAAACACGTGTAATGCGTCCGTTAGTCCACTTATATTCAACCGCGAGGTCGACGTGACCTATGCTAAATTTTTTTTAGCAAAAATGACCTCTGCTAAAAAAATGTATCCAATCCAGTCCAATCCAAATTTATCCAATCCAATCCAATCCAATCCAAATTTATCCAATCCAATCCAATCCAAATTTGAGTATCCAATCCAATCCAATCCAAATTTATCCAATCCAATCCAATCCAAATGTATCCAATCAAATCCAAATTTATCCAATCCAATCCAATCCAATCCAATCCAATCCAAATTTATCCAATCCAATCCAATCCAAATTTATCCAATCCAATCCAATCCAAATTTATCCAATATCCAATCCAATCCAATCCAAATTTATCCAATCCAATCCAATCCAATCCAAATCCAATCCAATCCAATCCAAGAGGCTGTTGTGTTTGCTTTACTGCTTCAGTTCAAGTTATGATTCTTTTTGCAGTTTCTCCATTATTTATTTCATGTGACATAATAAATGCATAAAAACACAAATTGAAAGTAATAGTTTTAAACTGTTGTGAATGGCGGCTACCATAAAAAAGCTACTACGGAGGGGTCCAGGTTCTTCGTTTTTCAAACAGTTCTGAATATTATTTTTTACACTTTCTGTAAACCAGACCCCATCCATAATATAAATCCGATGACGTTAAAAGCATCTTCCATCCAGTACAGTTGGGAATGGAAAAACACCGTATCATGCATGATGCAATCCATGCTCCAATACGTAGGAATAAATCCCCCAAGTAATCGCATTGCATTGCGCAAGTATTTGTTTGGGGTCAAAGGCCGGGGAATCCCCTTAGCTGGTTCCGCTCCATTCATTCCCGCGTGCGCGTACAAAAACAAATCTGACGGCAGGGAACCATAGTAGGGGGGCCAATGTACTTCCGTTGGCATGAAATGTTAATTTTTGGCACTTGGTTAGACCATCTTCTCTGGGATGTTTTAACTTACAAAAAATTGATGTTGCCATTTTTTCTGATCATTTTTTTCATAAGATTACATTTATAATGGTTGCCATAAATTAACATGAAATTTCCACGGGAACCCAAATCTGTACATTGGCCCCCCTACTACCAGCTGAGAAGAAAATCACGAGGCCGACAAAGTGAAATGAACAGATACGTAGTTCGTTTGCAAATTGCGTCCGTGAAATTCCTGTCTTACTGTTCACATTTGTCTAAATTATGAATTTAAGAATGAGGAATTGCTTTAGAACGTCAATATTTTCGCTGCAGTGAACTTCATGTGGCCTGCACAGGGTCACCGTACCGATCCACAGCTCGGCTCCAGTCTGCGCGCTACGTGCGGATTTGATCACCGTGCGTGACCCGTAGCTAGTATTTATACTTGAACCGTTGCAAACGTCACGACTAGGAAGGGTATTGACCATGGCATACATGGCAATCAAGCGTGAATGCTTGTCTTTAATCATTTTTGGTGAGTAGCATTGTATTCCACAAGCAGTTCCTTGAATAATTCGAATATGCATCATGAAAGAAAATGTGGCAATATTATGCACGCATGGTTGTATTGTTGATGTACCCTAACGTGGCGCGGCCGCCAACGTGGCGCACATTGATTTTCGCCTGTAGCGCCTACCAGTTTTAACTGAAATTTCACAGAAAGTGAAATTTCATCAAGTTGATATTGTAAGTAATTTGCCCAACAAAACAAATGCCGGCTTTGATCTAATTAGCAGTACATTGATTAAACAAGTGATTCTGGCAATCTCCTGTCCTCTGACCTTCATTATCAACTTTTCTATTTCAACTGGTGTTGTGCCTGAGAAAATGAAGATTGTCAGAATCACTCCCATTTTTAAAAGTGGCAATCCTACAATGGCAAGTAATTATCGACCAATTTCAGTTCTTTCTTCATTTTCTAAGATTATAGAACGTGTTGTTTATAAACGTACCATAGAATTCTTTGACAAACACTGTATAATTTCGGATAATCAATATGGATTTCGAGCACAACATTCCACTACACATGCTATTATTAAATTAATTGACAAAATAACAACTGGTTTAGACGCATCCTTTGCTACAATTGGTATCTTCCTGGACCTGTCCAAGGCCTTCGACACGGTTGATCATGACATCCTTTTATCTAAATTGGAATATTATGGAATTAGAGGAGTTGCCTTGGACTGGTTCAGGAGTTGTCTTTCTAACCGTCAGCAATTTGTATCTATCAATGGAACCCAGTCTACTTATTGTGAAATATCTTGTGGAGTCCCACAGGGTTCTATCTTGGGTCCCCTTTTATTCTCTATATACATTAATGATTTTGATAAATCCTCAGATGTATTTTCTTTTATTCTTTTTGCTGATGACAGTAATTTATTCTATAGCCACAATGATGTAAATGTACTTTTTGATACGACTAATTATGAGTTGAAAAAACTAACTATATGTTATTCAGTAATAGGAAGTACTGTCAGCCGTTTTCAATCCGTATTGATAATACTAATATTATAAAAACTGATTGTTTAAAGTTCTTAGGTTTGTATATTGATGACACTCTTTCTTGGAACAAACATATTAATCACATTTCTACTGTTATTTCTAGAAACATAGGTATTATATCCAAGCTAAAATGTACTTTTCCCCAGGATATCTTAATAATGTTGTATAATACCCTTATTGTACCTTATATTACATATGGAATACTTGCATGGGGCAATAGTGGTACTGGTCAAATTCATAGAATCCTCAAATTACAGAAAAAAGTATTGTTGTTAGCAGAGCCATGAAATTAGGCCCCAGCAGGACATCAAAGCCTTCAGTTACCAACGGTTACATCACAGTGATTTAATTTATTTCTCATACAGCAAGTTACAAACTTTTATCTTTTTGACTTATTGGCACCGTACGAAACAATTGTTGACTGCTGTGATGTGGGATTTGTCGTTTTTATAAAACATCATATTGCACATCACAGCAGTCAACAAAAATATTATAGTTAATTATCATTGTGATATATTCTTGTACACCTATACATACATGCACACACTATCGTATTTTATAAAGCACATTCATAGCATATCACTACTTTACACAGACATATATATATTATTGTAACATTGTACCCGAACTAATTGAACTAAAATGACTCTATACAATATACTTTAAGCTCTCCACTTTTTGGTCTTGTACTGTTTTTGCACATTTGGTAGTTCTCCAAATATATTATCTTTATAGGCCTACAGCTTCAAGTTGTTCTAATTGGCACGGCCAATTACGTTAAGATATTTAACGAATTTGCCTGACAAAGACTTTATGATGTACTGAAGAATCCTGACAGTTAAAACAGTACTATTGGTAACACAAAATGCACATAGCAGTGTTAGTGCTTACTGTCACGAAAAGACGCAAGACAAACAGTTGCACTCATTCAAGTAAAAAAAAAATACACACACATATTATCAAAAACATTATATTAACTTGTACAAAACATAAACATTACAACTTGTAAACTCTGGCAACCTAACAGAAACCTGAATTGCATTGAGTTGTTACTGGCATAGGAAAACCAAACTTGGTTATATACAGCACCCTAAAGAAATTAATTACATCCAAAATCTGAAGTTATTTTAGAGGTATATGAATTCATATTTTCATATTTAGCACATATTGAGCTCACATCCTAATGTTGTACTACCAATCTAAATTGTTTCTATAGGCCTAATCTTCATTAGTACATACATAAATTTGATTTGAAACATTGCGTGGTGGTGGTGCAAACTGCATGGTGAGGGTTTGCTGTAACACCATGTGGCAGTATCTCTGTTGAGAAGATGTGTGGTTTTGAAAACAACCAGTTGGTTGTGAAACTTAACTTTCCGATCAGCAGCTCTGATCGTCTTCAGGAGAGAACCGGGTCACCCACCTATGAGACAGCCCGATTTCTCCCCAGAATCCTCTGCCTTCTGGTAAGACCACATCTTCAACTCCAGCAAGTTCGTACTTCGTGGTCATAATCAGAAGCCTCACCTTCCAAATGATAGGCATCATATAGCTTTGACGTCGTTTCCTTTTTCTCGTGACGACGATCAGAATATGTTACATATTTAAAGGAACACACTTTCATTGCTACAAATCTAGTACATTTTGTACATAACCTGATTCTTATTTGATGAAGAAACCTGTTTTGGCCTCTCTCATCTTTGGAAGGTACCTTTGTGCAATCTGTGTGACAGCTGTTGCATCTAGACCCATGCCAACCAGGTAGAGCTTCTCCAGATCCATGGTTTTGTGCTCTGCGATAGTCTGCACGAGTGTGTCCACTGCATCGTGACTGAATGAACCTTCTTGCACGTAGAGACACGTGAGTTTACTAGGACTTGAAGCAAGCGATGTTGATACCTCATTCAAGTAATCATCAGTCAGACCACAGCAACGGAACACCATGGAAGTTAGACTCTCGAAGAGTGGTGAACGCCTGTGCAGATACCCATGCAAGCTACTGTTTTCAATACACAAGTACGTCGCGTTGCTTGCGGCGAGGGCATCGACAAGCACTGTGAAGTCTTTACGAGATTGCAGGATCTTACCATCCAGGCCGATACCGAACCCACTCAGCTCTGGCTGCTGTCTGACGAAGTCACACAGTTGATTGACTTGGTTCGTGAGGACCATTTCCTCTCCAGACTCCCCTGTATTAGATTTCCCATCACACTGTTTGCTGGAAGTTACGTAAAGCCTCGTGACCTTAGCTCGCCGTGGCATCTCGGAGATAGTTGTCGTGAGATCTGACAACTGATCTTTCAGCTGATCTGACAGTTCCACGTGGAAATAAAGTGAGTCCACAGTGACTCCTTCTAAGATCTTCCTGGCGATGGATTGGTCAGTAATTAGTGTCAGGTGGATATTGAGTCTTTCTAGCTGAACTGGATCAGAGAACCTCTGCAGGTAATATTCCATTGCTGGGAAGTCTTCTTTGTATTTCAGTGTCAGACGGGACCCAACACCTGCCAGGAGATTAGGTGACTGTGCTTCGAAAACCAGGACCAGTGTGAAATTCTGTATCCACAAGAACTCTTGTGTCTGCAACTCTTCATGAAGACCATTGACATGTTGGAGAATCGTAGCAGCAGCATTGACGTTCATTGCTTTCAACGGTTACCTGTTGCAACAACTCGTTCTGTATGTTCTCAGTGGCCTGTGTTGCTAGGTAATGGGCTGCAAAGAACTCCTGAAACGATTTGTGCAGGAAGTTGACCATCTCTACAAATTTTGTGCGAACTGCTTTTGACTCCTGATACAGAATCCCAATTTTCAATCCACCTTCCAGAGAGTTGCTAAACTCATCTGGTTGAAAGACTAACTTTTCTCCATCCGGATCAATCAAGCCTTCAAATGCAACTCGACCAAGTTCATCTTTGACTGCGTTCACCTGCTCTTGTGAGACATTTTCGTATTTCTCCAGGATATGACTCACTAGTATGTCCACAGCTCGTTCATACAACTTGGTTAGTTGTTGGGGCAGGGTATCATCACGGTTCCATATGACACAGAGGAGAAGCAACATGATGGGAGACTGGGCAAGGGTGTGAGTGAACGCAGTTGACTGGACCTCTCGTATGAGTGCTTGACCCTTCTCAACCTTGTCGGAAAAGAACTGCCCAATGTACTTGTCCCTGTTTGCAGGTGAGAAACCGATCGTTTCAACAACAGCGTAGGTGCTGTCAAGCTCGTTCATCTTGTGAGGACGGGTGGTTACGAGGACACGGCAGTCCCTGAGCGCATTGAACGAAATCACATCTTTGATTGAGAAGTCATCCTCGTTTGGTGGTGGACTATTCAGCACCTGCGACGACACCTCATCCAAGCCATCCAGTACAATCAACGTGTCCTTCTGGTTTTTAGTGATAAGGTCTCGGAGATTTGCTCTGAATAATTCAGTCTCTTTAGGCAGAATTCTCTGAATGGCATCCACAAGTCCCAAGGACAACCACAAGTTTGAAGCATGACAAGACGGAACCTGCCATCTGACAGGCCCAATCGCAGGCAATCTTTCTGGTGAGTGTCGTCTTACCGCTTCCTGCTGTTCCCACCAAAGCCACATGACCCTCCTCGTCCAAGAGGCGTATGAGATCATCTTGGGAGTCCAGTGGTTCCTTGACCGGGTTATCTGGGTAGAATTCCCGTCTTCCTCTAATCCTAACCATCTTTTCAGACTTCACAGTTTTGCCAGTCTCTCTTAAGAGTTGCAGATCGATGAACACATCTTTGATTTTATTGATGCAACGAGCAAAAACTGGATGAGTACGAATTGTGTTAAGCATTCCTTTGTAGTACGTCTTGAGCTGGTCAGCACAACTCCTCAGAGTTTCATCACCTTTAAGAAATGAAAATAAAGCAGATACAAATATGAGTTGTGGTTTGAGACCAGTATAAATTCTTTCGTAAGGGTGTGAATTTCATGACATCAACAACTGATTTTTTTCTTTTCGCTTTACCCTTATGAAACTTTTCTTTAATTTTCATGTGGGTATACAGGGGCTCTTTTTCAGTCCTTGACAATGCAGACTACAAAAACAAAAGTCAATCGGAATAAACATCTGCCATTGAAACAACTCGATCTCACACACATCATATTTCTGTAACAACACAAACCATTATCCAGTTAGTCCTTCCTGAATCATCCTTTATTACGCGGTTCATCCACAGGGTCACAATTTCCTAACAAATCCGATGGTGTTGCTGCAAAGTGAGTTCCAGAAGTTTGAGTATTTAATACCTTATTCAGTTGTGGTGCTGATATACTCAGTTACTTAACCATTACAATAGCTCACCTTTTTCCAAGTCAGCATTGTTTACATCAGTCATCCTTACTGTGTTGTATGTCGAATTTCTTGTCGATCTTTTCTGTGGTGCAGTGTGAAATGGGGGAAAAATTACAGCTGTGACATTTATATCTATTTAGTAAACCCTAACAACACTGAATGTCCCAGTTTTGATATTATGTTTATTTCACACACCCGAGGGAGTTATTAGGTAATTCAAGTAGATCTAGTCTCATTGACATTATAAAAATCGGTTTTAATTGATGACATCACTAACCTTGAAGACCAAGATTATCCCAGCAACTATCACCACAATCAAAATACCGATGATGATGCAAAGGGCGATCAATATGCCATGTACTCCGCCTTCTGACTTTGAAGAATCTGTTGACACCTGTGGCTGTGTTGAATAGCCTATGATAACAACAGACAATCATTGCAATCAACAGGTGTATTTCTACAGACAAAAGTAAAGTGCATAATTTATCTCAGTATACCGTACAATGCTGCTATAGTGAATTCACACATTGACATGGTCATTTCTCTGTCTAACGCAAAATCTTGGGATGCTCGCATTTTACAATCAGCATCTTCCAATTGTGCAATCAAGAGACTTTGATATCTGCACAAAACTTCTATTTAAACCAAACTTCATATGACACCCGGAATACCTTAATCGTACATAAACAAAATTTAACTAAGTACCACCAATTTTCTTGTTCCAAGAATAAAAGGGCAAGAGTGCACTACATTTTTTTATACCGGAATTCATGAATGGAATTTACTTCCCGACAACATCAAATGTTCCAACAATCATCCTCAATTTAAAAGGGCAGTGAAGGAACATCTCTCTTCTCAGTCATTTTTTCTAAGCGGCTGAGTTTTTAATGAATGATCATTCTTTGTTATTTCCTGTGTAATTTTATTGAACTTTTTATAATGTAATTGTATGTTTTTGTGTGTGTGTTTTTAAGGGCCCTGATGGAAATAAGCCGTGTTATAAACAGCTTTTAGGGTTATCCTTGGCTTTGTATATTTCATGTAATACGTTCATTTTTATGTGCGACTGTATGTTTGTTTGTATTTGCCAAAATAATTAAATAAATAAAAAAACAAAAACCTGCCACAGTTAACTTAGTATTTCATCCAATTTAAACGATTAAATCTTCTTTCTGTTTGACTTTGGTTTTGGTATTACCAAATAACTCAATGGGATAATGAATGGGATAATCAATATAAATGAAATTAAACCTACTTCTTGTGGGTATATCCAATCTTGTAATGTGCACTTTCCGGAAGGCTCCGTTCCTATCTCCCATTGCAATGCCGGTTGCTTGGCAACACAGTGTTGTCTCCTCGTGATAAACCTCTGTCACCATTGCAAAGGTGGAAAACAAATAGTTCTCTGTGGATGAACGTAAATAAACCAACTTTTTCAGAGTTTCCTAACTTAGGTCAAACGAAAAAGTTGGTGAAACATAAGTATCTGCCTCCATGTTTATCTTTTGGGTCATCTTGGGAGCTTAGCAGGACTTTGCCCAGTGATTTGTGATTTTCATCAAATGTCACATTGTGTTCACCGCATTAAATTCTGTGAGTTTAGTAACTGTATACTGTTGCACTGTGTTACAGTACAATTTACATATACATGTATATGTTCGTGTTAATTGCCTGCCTGTACTTATAGACCAATGCATAAAACCACATTAACTGCACACATAGCCAACAGAAGGTGCACATCCAAATGGCATATTGCATGTTCCAATCGGTAGTCTTGTAGGTTGACTATAGGTCTTGTCAGACATGTCGGACATTTTGGTCATGGCTATGATTGGTCCAAACATTACAGGGAGGGCTCAGATGGACTAGTTCATATAAATGGTGTCCTGTCCTGTCATAGAGTGCCACAGAATTATTGACCTTCAAATGCCTTTATTTGAAATGCCACAATGAACCAACCAAAATACCTTGGATTTGAGACACATTTTGAAGCGTTCCGTTGACTCGGTATGTGATGTTTGTCACTGCTTCAGTGGATCCGTCATTGAAAACACGCAGCCACCGCAGTTTGACAGCAGGTCTGGCATTGATCACATGACATGTCAGGTGGTAAGTTTCCTCTTTAGGGTGGAGTTCTATCAGGCAGCCATCTTTGCTGTCTGTCAGACGACACTCCTCAACCTCTGGAGAAGGTCCATTGGGTGGTACTGTCGATGACAAAATGTTATGAAAGTTACCATATCATGCATATATCCAGCAAGCTCTGGACTGAAATCTGAAATCCTCTAACAGTTATCATTATGTTCAATCTTTGTGCTTGACCCGTATTTGTAGAGTAAAGAGGTACAGTTGCTAAGCAAGTGGTGCACATGAGCGGGTGGAGGATGGGGAGACAGAGTTCCTTTCTCTCTGCCCCCCCCCACCGGCAAGTAATGAATGACCCAATTTAACACGCCAGGTTTCCTTTTCCTCTGCAGAGAAATCCTTCATGGACAACGTTGTTTTCGATTCATCATATTTCTTTGTTGATTGAAAATTGTCCACAATCTAGTACGATTTCCAGTAAGCTTGTTTTTTTTTCCTTTAAAAAGAAAAGATAGGTTTACGAGCCAATTGGCCAAAATATTCATGGTCTTATCGTCTTTGTTAAGCATCCGTCTTTGTGAAAAGACACAGTTGTCAAACTTTTTTTTTACTCACCAAAAACTGTTACATCTACGGATGCAGTTTGGAAACCAGGACGTCCAGTTTTCAGCTGACAGAAGAACTGCCCTTCATCAGATGCTGTAATGTTGTTTATGACTAGGGATAATCGCTCAGTCAGGAAATACTTGCCGCTGACAATGCTCGGGCCTTCATAGATAGTTCCCTCAAAATTGGAAATGACTAGGTTCTCTGTGGCTACAACGTCTTTGTACCAATACGCTGAGTCGACATCTCTGATGCTGAAGTTCTCATCTGTGATCAGAGGGCATTCTACTTCTTCGCTTTCTCCAAACTGTAGATAGGTGTGCTTGCCCAGCGGCAGGACTTGACTCAGACAAAATATGACTGCAAATTAAATTATAGCAGGACAGCTTGGTCATTCCATGTCAATTCAACACGATTTTGTTCACCCGACCCTCACAGATCATGTAATATAATTGGCCTTTAGAAGAAACTCCCAAAACTGAATGTGTTGTTGGTGTGTAATCTGGCTCGTAACTTTGTGAGATGCGGGTCAACGAACTGTTGACTAATGAGCATGACCTCCGAAGTTTAAATACTTAAACGTGTATATCCAAAAGTACAGCACCTGCGAAGCCACTGTGCTACATCATCTAAGCTCTTCGATTGGCTTCCATAAAACGAAACCAAAATCGTAACATGAAGCGCAGAGAAAATGCGTAAAGAAATTACCTTTATCGTAGTTTTTTTAATGTTTAATACTTTATGTCAGATATAAACAAAAGTCTTGGAAAATGTTGTGATTGGCACTCTTAAAGTTTTTCAAGGTATGGAACGAGTGAGTCCTGTCAGTGAGACATAATGGAGCAATTTAGTCTGGGACCATCAAAAAAATGTGAAAAATGCCCAGTTCAAGTAATAAGCGACAACTAGCCTAAAATAAAAATACAGCTATATACATATAGCGTATGTATACCCCCCGCCTACCCCCCCCCCAACACACGCCCACGTTTGTACTTTTTGGGAAGACCATATGTTTTGTACACGATCGTTTTGTACACGATCCTCTATTGTTCAACGTCCCCTATGCAGAAAATCACTTACATGGACATGGACTACTTTTGATTGAGGCGTACGTGTAGTAATACTAGTATAGTCGTGTTCCCTAACGTGGTGCACTTCGAAGCTTACCCGACTCTCCTTGTGTGGTGTTGACAAACCTCAAATTCATGCAGTAAAATACTAGTACTTTTACCTTACTAATGCTTGCTATTCAACCTCTGTGAACAATTTCGGTTTTATAAAATTTAATCCGAAATTCAAAAACGGTGGCGTCCGGAAATTGGGCACAAATTGGCGGAGTGTTCCCTAACGTGACGCACTTGAAAAAATCTCGGAAAATTCCAAATTAACATTTAAGAATGTCTGTAAACTTCATAAATTCTGATAAATAATTATTATCGCTTCTTACATACCCAGCCAGATGTTTGTCAGAAAATTATTTTTCTTATTTTTCGGGGCATTTTCAAAGGGTTCACTTTGCACTTGAAAATAAAATCGGAAAATCACGCCAAAATAAATTTTTCTTCTAACTTTGTTACGGGTAAATAAACTCGCGATTTATGAACAGGGGTGTTTAGAACTTCACAATTCACAATTCAATTCACTTTATTTTCCACATAAAAAAAGACAATCAGAGTTAAATATATACAAAATATGTGGATGGGGATCCCTAAAAAGCAATGCTTGTCGAGTAGAGATCCCCACTTACAATCATACAAAAATATACAAGTTACACACACAAACAACACATAAGGACATAACACCCGACATGAATATGGGAATAACATGCAGCTGCAAGCCCGTGAAAAAAAAAGAGAAACAATTAAGTACTTAAATATTTTTCCGATAATTTATTTTTGTATTTGTGCTTAAAGAGCGAGAGACTGGAGATATTTTTTAGGGAAAAATCAACCGAGCTCCACAGCTTGGGACCATCATGCTTTACAGTCAAGGGCGGATCCAGGGGGGGGGCCAAAGGGGGCCATGGCCCCCCCAAAACGAAACCAATTTTTTTTTTTTTTTAATGTGACATCGCAATAAAGGCAGACAATGAGTACACCACCATCTTTTCCTCAAAAAAATTGGTTAAAGTGGTCAGAAATTGCCTCAGATCGCACCACAGAGCATCTAGAATCCAAAAAATTTTCGGGGCCCTAGCGGGCCCCGAACCCCACACCGTAATTTTTTAGACCCACTTTTTGGGGGGACCAAAATTTTTTTTGGCCCCCAAAAATTGTGTTCTGGATCCGCCCTTGTTTACAGTTGCCCTAGAGATTGCAGTACGTGCGTGAGACCGATGAAATTCATTAAACTGTCTTGTAAAGGTGCGTATCATAATTTTTTGAAAACATAGAACAAATCGAATTGGGTAAACTGTTAGTGTTAAGTTGATGCATGAAGGAGCCCAACTGAAGAGAGTAAATGTCATGAACTTTTAGAGTATTGCAATTATAAAAAAGTGGATTACTATGCTCATGAAAGTCAACGTTAAATGATACGTAATACTTTTTTTCTGTAATTTGAGGATTCTATGAGTTTGACCAGTACCACTATTGCCCCATGCAAGTATTCCATATGTAATATAAGGTACAATAAGGGTATTATACAACATTATTAAAATATCCTGGGGAAAAGTACATTTTAGCTTGGATATAATACCTATGTTTCTAGAAATAATTAACAGTAGAAATGTGATTAATATGTTTGTTCCAAGAAAGAGTGTCATCAATATACAAACCTAAGAACTTTAAACGATCAGTTTTTATAATATTAGTATCATCAATACGGATTGAAAACGGCTGACAGTACTTCCTATTACTGAATAACATATAGTTAGTTCTTTTAATATCCCTAGCAGTCCTGAATCCTCCAATTTCAATATGATTTTGCACACCCCCTAGGGAGTTAGGGTTACAACTTGTTGCTTTGATCCAGGCAGATACTTTTTTCAACTCATAATTAGTCGTATCAAAAAGTACATTTACATCATTGTGGCTATAGAATAAATTACTGTCATCAGCAAAAAGAATAAAAGAAAATACATCTGAGGATTTATCAAAATCATTATTGTATATAGAGAATAAAAGGGGACCCAAGATAGAACCCTGTGAGTAGTGTAGACAGCTTATTTGACCCCGTTTTCTCGTGGGGGATCATGATCCTCATCGAGGATCATATCGGTAACCCCAACGAGGATCATAAATCGGGGCGTGTCTGTGGCGAGGTGACGTCATGGATCGATGGACAAATCGATCGTGGGGATTAGCGCTGAATAAGTATTATTGCTTGAAGATAAAAGTACAACAAAAGGGGGAAAAGGCAAACGACGATGCAGACAACGCCAGCGTAAGTTTTATTCATAACCACAGCAAACATACAATATAAAATTAAAAGCAAGCTAAACATACAATGTACATATTATTAAACAAAATAATACATGTAATAATAAATAAATAATATGTAAAAATGAAATAATCGAACACACAATACACTCGCCTTGGAAGATTAATTCGGTTCACAGTTCGCAGCATAACACATGATGAAAGATTTATAATTCAGTCTGCTCTCAGAAATTTACTTTTTTCGTATATGAACAAACGAAGATATTAAATACAAATGTAACAAAAATATTTTTTTTTAAAAAGAAAGAAAAAAAGGTACTTTACCGTCCTGCCCGAACACATTTCAATGACTCGCATAAAAGAATTATTTACAAAATGTATTTTGACTTCCCACATCCGATTTATAGTTTCGTATTTGTAACGATTCATTACAATTACATGTACATGTATTGTAATGCGGTCCTCCGTCCGTATTTTAACAATTTCAAGAAAATAATAATTCAAAAATTGTTTGAAAATGCGCACAAACGCATGTTTATAATGTACTCTTTTTTTTGAGCAACACAAGTTCCAGTTAACTTATTGTAATAACAGACAGGTAGCCTAAATGTATACACTTCCGGCATCACTTCAAATTAGACGTTTCGTAATAATTTTGAGCGTTTCATATGAGCTTATCCTGAAACAATTGGACGCTTATACAATACTCATACTCAAAACATCCTCGTGTTTGTTCATTACATTACTTTAACATACAAAATAGGCGTATTCGCGCATCATCCACTCACAAAACGCGTCCGAGCTAGTATTACAATGGCCTTGTATTTGGATGGGGAATCCCTATGACGTCACAGTGATGAGTCATCGATGGACGGCAAACAGAATGACCAGTCCAGACTTGTCCGGTCGTCAAGTCCGAATTCGCGGTGTTTTTAAATATCTCCATGTACACGGCCGCCAGTGCCAGTGACATCATTGTGATGATTCAGAGATGGACGACAAACAGGCTGACCAGTCCAGACTTGTCCGGTCGTCAAGTCCGAATTCGCGGAGTTTTTAAATACATGCACTCTACATGTATCTCCATGCACACACGATCAGCGGTGTGAACCATTTCAACGTTAGGTAAACGTTTGGTGTGCATCGGCAAGGTGAATGAATGCAGTTTATATATGCAGTTGGTTTTGATTTCATCACGACGATCGAATTAATCTCCTACACAAATTCAAGGTAAGTTTATGTCTCACGATATAATTATTATCATCAACATTTTTTTTTCCCTTTTTTTTTTGGGCGGGGGGGGGGGCAGTCCTTTGTTAATGATTTTGCAAAGTCGGCGTAATACATTGCACATGATAACATTTTGTTGGAATCCGTTTCGGATTTTGAATAATCTTCATCGAAATCTTCGTCTTCATCCTGCGTAGATTCAGTTCTACAGTTTTCTATTTCCGAATCTTCAAATCTACGCTTTTTAAAATCAGGTTCAGAATTATCTACATCAAGGTCCTCCACTTTAATTTCCTCATGATAACATTTTGTTGGAATCGTTTGGGTGATAATTGTCCAAAACAAATTTATTTTTTCTTGTATTACCTCAGGGTCGGCCCATATCCTCTCGATGCAGTTTTACAAGGTACGAACCGTACTGTTTTCTTTTCTACCAAAGACGTTACAGTAAACTATTATTTTAAAAATTACAATAGTCTTTCTTAATCTACTAGTCTTCAGTCATCACTGTCTTTAATCAACGCTAGTCTTCCTCAAGATCTTGGAACAGTCCGTCAAATTTGGATTGGTGTTTAGGCATTATCCTGTTGAGGGCTGTATTTACTTCTGTGCCTTTATTTATTTTTTTCTTCCAGATCTTCAACAATTTCTTGATGGGTATCGTTATCTTTCAAATGTAGCTAACTTGACAAAAAAATCCTTGTAGTTGTTGAAAAAGCATCGCTTGACTGCCCAGAGTGTCTTCTTATTTGCTTTTTCCTTGGCTTGATCTTCACCCATACGCCCGTTGACGTACTTTTCATATTTCTCACTCCACATCTCTTCAGTGGCGTCTTCCAACCAGTCTTGATAGGCGACATTGTCTTCCAATTCAGAACTAGACTCATCTTCATTCGATAATTCGCCTTCTTCTACCTCTGTTTCGGATTTCGAATAACCTTCCTCGAAATCTTCGCCTTCATTCTGCGAAGATTTGGCTTCATAGTTTTCTATTTCTGAGTCTTCAAATGACCATCTTCATCCGAAAATTCGTCTCCTTCTACCTCCGAGTCCGTTTCGGACTCCGAATAACCTTCCTGGAAATCTTCGTCGTCATTCTTCAAAGATTCAGCTTCGCAGTTTTCTATTTCCGAAGCTTCAAATAACCCATCTTCATCCGATAATTTGTCATCTTTTACCTCCGTTTCGGATTTTGAATAATCTTCATCGAAATCTTCGTCTTCATCCTGCGTAGATTCAGTTCTACAGTTTTCTATTTCCGAATCTTCAAATCTACGCTTTTTAAAATCAGGTTCAGAATTATCCACATCAAGGTCCTCCACTTTAATTTTCTCTTCAGCATGTACATTTTCTATATGCCTCCGTAGGTTATATCTCCATCCAAAGCTCTTGTCACACTTGTGACAAGCATTGGATTTGACTGCAGAAATAGCATTCATGTTGAGTCTTTGAAGGTAAATCTCTGAATGGCAAGAAACGAATGAAAACATTTGATATGTAGCTCCTTTGTTTCATGTCTTACTTTCTTCTTGCTCGTTTGCTCTTTTCTTGCTCATTACTTGCTCTTTTCTTGCTCTTTTCTTGCTCTTTCTTCTTGCTCGTTTGCTCTTTTCTTGCTCATTACTTGCTCTTTTCTTACTCTTTCCTTGCTCCTTTGCTCTTTTCTGGCTCATTACTTGCTCTTTTCTTACTCTTTCCTTGCTCCTTTGCTCTTGTCTTGCTCTTGTCTGGCTCTTTTCTTGATCTTTTCTTGCTCTTTTGCTCTTTTCTTGCTCTTTTGCTCTTTTCTTGCTCTTTTCTTGCTTCTTCTTTGCTCCTAGCTGTCTTGCTCATTATCAATTAAGACATGAGCTCGACGATTTTGAGGTCTCAGAATGTTGTGGTCTCGGTCTCGACTCCAAATGTCTCGGTCTCGGACAAGGGTCTCGGATCAAGACCTTGACGAGACCCGTTAAATGAGTGTTTGAAGACAATTATTCGATTAACCGCTTATGGAGTCGACACTGAATCACCTGAGCAAATCTATGATAACGCATAGTGCATGTCAAAAGAATTTCCGCAAGGAGAGCATGCTTATCGCTAGCATATCGCCGCTCAGTCAGTAGCGGTTTGTCTGTTAACAAACCGCGTGTCGTGACGTCCGTCACGTGCGTGCATTGACTGATGGCGACAACTGGACTGTATGAAAAATACATTGCACACTGCACGCACGGCGGATGCGTGTAGTCACTGCATATAAACATCCATGCAGGAAGGTTCTCGCTCGTAGTATAACGGTGTAACGTTAAATATTTCAGAAATTATTTTGAGTTGATGATTAATCATTTATATAAAGTGCTGTCTTGTCGAATTGAAAATTATGTCAAGGAACTCGTTAATCATAAAATTTGCTTTAAGGAGCACAAAGAGTTTGTGGACAAAACATCAGGAAAAAGAAAGCACTCAGCTATACCTTGCAGATTTTGTTTCAGTCAGAAGCGTATTACCGACCAGGCAGGGATGAGTTCGGCCTTCATCAGGCACGTGAGCCGTGTCCACAAAGTAAAGAAAGTACCTATCGCCCTATTTAAACCATTTATTAGGCCCAATAATATTAGCCCCAAAATAATTGAACCAACATCTCCGTCAATTTGAATTAACGTTAAACAAGGGAAAACCTTACAGATGTAGGGCCAGGATGAGGTATGTTGCACCGTGTGTTGCTGGGCTGAGGGCCAAGTTCGCCACGTTGAACTTTTTTCTTACGTGTTGTTTGACAATTTACCAGTTCAGATATGTTGAAGTTGATGAAACAGAGTATAATTGCTGCAACTAATAATAGTTATTTTCATATTAAAAAGTAATCGAATTATCAGCAAGCTTTGACTTGAGTAGGATTGAAGCCGAGTGATAGTATGGTTTTGTTTTGGTCCTCAAAGTTTTCACGGAACATGGGCACCACCATCTTGGATTGAGTGCGCCCTAACACGTCATTTATTTACTTATTTTTTTTTCTCAAAAATAGTTTATGTCCACCAGTTGTCCACCCAAGTTTGCTTAAATTGTTTTCATATTGACTGGTTAATTTAAATGGATAATGGGGACATTTTTTGAAAACATGCATTTTTTTATTTTGATTAATTTGTTCTCCAACTAATTATTTCAATTTAATATGTTTTATGTTAATATGATTTTCCTTACTGCAAATAACTATAACTTTCTTAATTGACCCATTTGCAGATACAATGAATACATACAAAACAAGACTCAGGCAAAAGTCAGCAGCATACCATCACCAGTTTTATTACACCTGGTGCACATAGCAGCATTTTTTTTTTAATGAGGTCACGGTCTCGGCCTCGGTCTCGGTCTCGGACTATGAGGTCTCGGTCTCGGTCTCGGTCTCGGACTTTGAGGTCTTGACTCCAACTCTGTTAGACCTGCCGTGATATGGGCGGTACAGACGCTCCCCTGTGTCATACTCCATCGGGTTTAGTTCCGGGGGTGCCGAGGGTTGCTTCGAGTGTCTGTACCCAGCTTTTGTCATCGTGCAGACCCCAATTATCACAAGTAGGCAGACGAGAGCTATTACCGGGATCAGAATGGCGGCAAGGGGAGTACCTACGACGGAAACAGAACTTTACTGTAAGATTTTTGAACACGGGACCAAATAACTTTCAAAGCGAATTTTGTTTGTTTCAATGGATTTTTTTTGTTTACTACCTTCCACTGTAAGGACGTGTTTAGGTTCATTTGCAAAATGTTGATTAGCTAAGTAAGTGGTGTTTAAATTTGATCCAAAAAATTTTTAAATATTCGAAATGAAAATTAAAAACCTGTCGGATATCCTGATCATCTGTTAACTTTTTCTATTTTACTTCGATGTTGGTGTATTATGCGTATTTAATTATTATATTTTTCATGATGTGGTGACCACCAACATACGTAAATCCATATACAAAACATTTATTTGGCCGTTGTACAGTATGTCTCTGGTCTATTAATTATTCTATTGTAAAATAACATTTTTACAAAGAGGAACATCATTGCTCTTAAATACTCCATACATACTTAAAAACAAAATCAAAAGACAGAAAGCCAGTTTTTTGGAATGTCATCCACGATTTTTTTTATTTAAAAAAAAAAGTACCTTTTATTGATGTCTGGCAAACATCACCGGTGAATCCAGCAGAACAACTTTAGTAAGAAAACAATAGAAAGGTTTTTGACGTCATACTGCAAAACGTGATATGCCTTTTTAACACAATGAACATGTGTGAGGGCCGTGGTAGAATCGTGTTAGGTTAAGTACATGCAAACAACACTAATGTACCAATTACAAGTTGAAGGTTTCTGACAGTTGCCAGAAGTTGCACATGTGTTATAAAAACACACACACACAAGAAGACTATCGAAAATAAATCGGCCTAAGAAAAACAACCTCTATTTTCGTTGCCGTAAGCTTTCATGACTGTCATTGCCATTGCTATCACTGTGATTGTCACTGCTGAAGAAGCAATAAAATGTGAACCTACTTGCAGGAGAACTGGACCCTTGGCACTGCTCCTTCCTTCACACATTCCCCGCCATTTTGGCAATAGTCGGTAGGGCACGTGATCGACTCCGCTGTATTTAACAGAACAAAAAAGACGATCACTGGGCCTCGTCTTAATGCATGAATCCCATTGAGGTACATTGTGCTATTTCCGTGAATCACACTGAAATATGGAGACAAAATCTTTCGATGAAAAATCAAGGTGATAATTATTAATGAAGGATATTATTCAAAAGCAATTAAAGGCTTATGAGGTTAACTGGTTCCACGTGGTTCCTTCACTTTGTCATACTAATTGTTCGCAGTTCATCCAACTTATGTATTCATTTTTTGTCGAGGTATTTTCAAAAGGTTTCAAACACTAAAAATATCTTTAAAAATATCGTCAGTAAACCTATATAAAAAGGGATATCTCGAATGAACGCAAGTAAAAATTGTCTCACAAAGATACCCTCCAAACCTGAGAAAAAAACACGAACTTAGTTAAATTTTAGATTTTAGATATTCGTGCAAAAAGATACTGAGGAAAACAATACAAATATGAGTTCGCATGTACAATAATCAATAATGTCAGGGAAAATGCACCAATACCAAACATCAAATAGGTCAATGTAAATACAACAATAAGGAAGGCGTGCTATTCCCTGTGTGGTTCATTTGAAAAACAGAACCCGACTAGCTTACACAATAAACAGGCAACTATAGGTTTTCCCGGCCAATTTCCTAAAATGTTCTTTCACTTCTAAAAATCGGTCATTCATTTTCGTCTGAATTTGAGAATCGCTCTGAACACGCGTTTCATTTTCGCTACCAGAGCATTTAATTCCATTTCAGTTCAATCAGTTAAGTGATTGAGCAGCACCTTTCGTTTAATTATGTCCATTCAGATTTGTTTACAAGACTTCTTTTTATGCATTCAGCGGGCGATTTCAAACATTCGCCATTCCATTTCACTTTTAGTTTAATGCCATCGGCACCAGATACAATAAAGGGTTTCTTTTTCATTAACCGTCAATCAAATTAGCTGTACCTGAAATCAATTTAGAAAAGGTATGCTTGCGTAAATGAATGCGCAGGTAGCGTAATTGGCCGCCTGTTTCTCAAAACCGAATGCACGGACAATGAAAACGATTGAATTTTGTTGAATTGGAATGGGATTAAAGACGTGCATTCAAATTCAGACGAATACTAATGATCGATTTTTCAGAAAAGAATGAACATTTGAGGAAATTGGCGGGAAAACCTATATTTGTAATTTGGCTTAAATCCCAGAAAATACATTCAAGGTTCAAGGTTCATTTATTTTCCACAGTATCAAATCAATAAATGACATGAAATAATTACAAAACAGAAAAGAATTACAAATAATACAACAAAAGATATTTTAGAGACACCGCAGAGGGGCCCATTGAGAAGCAGAGCTTTTAAGCATGGGCCCCAGACAGGCATGCTCATTGAGCCCAATCCAAGAGAAGGGAATTAACTTACAATGAACAATATTGAATGGTCAGTCACACGAGGCTCAATGAGCATGCTGTATTTAAAGTAATTACATGTACGTAGAAAAGCAACATACCTAAACACAATACACATTGAGACGTAAACAACGGACAAACAACCAATACAATACAGATCATTTAAACTAGTCAGGTCAGCAAAAAGCAATACAATCATGAATATTCTACAATCTACATGTATGGGGATATTTAAAATTCATACCATACAAAACGGTAAGTTAGGCTGATGAATGTTTTTATGGCACTCACATTGTGCGATCACTAACTCTGGATTGATGGTATAGGTGATACCCCCACCGGCTCCAAATGTGCCTTCTGTGATGACGTTTTGTAGGACCCCCTGCACAGCGCTACCTAGAGGCGCGCTATTATTAGCTTCAGGACTGAAACCCAGGCGCACGTCCACGATAATGCTGCCTTGGTAGATGGCTGTACACTTGGCCGTCACAATTGAAGCAAGCTCGGGGCTTAAAGCTTCAAGCATCTGTTAATATAGACAATGTAATATCATTGTATGTTCGGTTAATTTGTACTCAGTCAACCATCGGACAATTCAACTCACGTCAACAGTCAACGGTAGGTGTTGAAGTAAAGCTGTGAACCTTAGGTTGAACTTAAGTAACATTATGAAAAGATACAGTCTTCAACTTTCAAAAATACGGCCGTTAGCCCATATCATCAAATACAATATCCCAAAACAAAGACAATCGAATATTTACGGCCGTTTCAACAGGCAGGCACAGCGTTCGCGACTCTGGACTCGTGATGTCGTTATAAGCTTCGATGAAAGGAACATCTGATCCATTAGTTTCATTTATCGCCATGGAAACAACAACAACTTTGGGATCTGTATAACAAAACGGAAAGAAAATCAGCAGGTCGAAGAAGAATACTAACAGAACTATGTTTTTAGCAGAATAATTTTTGAACAACAACTTACCGACCGTTACAGTAAAGATGCACTCCGCCTCATTTCCGGCAGCATCACTCGCGTTACAAACAACAATTGAAGTGACATCAACGGGAAATGAACGACCAGCGGCTGGAAAGCAGGTTACTTCAGGAGTGGTCCCATCATCATCAGTAGCTGTAGGATCTGGTGTCCAGGTGACTGTAGCGTTTTCAGTCCTTACATCCAAAGGGCAACTGTTGATCACAGGTGCTTGTTGATCTGAAATCATCATTTTTCAATAAAGAAGGGAAACTTAGATTTTAATTGTTATGTCGCTAAAAACTTTAAAAAAAGGTGTTTCTTAAAGTACAAAAGTAAGAGTTTATTAGACCTTCCCATAGTAACATTATAAGTGTTACAAAATGTCAATCAATGCTACAAACGATGCATAAAGTTCAATAAAGTAATGCTTGAATTTATACACCTACCTACAGCGACATTAAAAGTGCAGATGGCCTCATTTCCAGCAGCATCAATCGAGTTACAAACAACAATTGTAGTTGCATCGACTGGAAATGAACTACCAGCGGCTGGAATGCATTTAACTTCAAGATTGGTCCCATCATCGTCAGTTGCTGTAGGTTCTGGTGTCCAGGTTACCACAGCGTTGTTGGTCCTTACATTCGAAGGACAATTGTCGATCACAGGTGCTTGTTGATCTGAAATAATAATTGTTCAATATAAGAAGGATGTTTGCCATTAAATTGCGATATCGAAGAAAACGACAAAAGATACATCAAGTACAATAGTGAATTGATACACCTACCTATAGTTACATTAAAAGTGCAGATGGCCTCATTTCCAGCAGCATCAATCGCGTTACAAACAACATTTGTTGTCTCATCGACTGGAAATGAACTGCCAGCGGCTGGAATGCAGAATACTGCAGGTGTGGTCCCATCATTGTCAGTTGCTGTAGGATCTGGTGTCCAGGTTACCATAGCGTTGTTGGTCCTGACATTCGAAGGACAATTGTCGATCACAGGTGCTTGTTGGTCTGAAATAATAATTGTTCAATAAAAGAAGGAAGTTTGTCATTAAATTGCGATGTCGAAGAAAACGACAAAAGATACACCAAGTACAAAAGCGAATTGATACACCTACCTACAATCACATTAAAAGTGCAGATGGCCTCATTTCCAGCAACATCACTCGCGTTACAAACAACATTTGTAGTTGCATCGACTGGAAATGAACTACCAGCGGCTGGATTGCAGGTTACTTCAGGAGTTGTCCCGTCATCGTCAGTAGGAAAAGGATCTGGTGTCCAGGTTACCATAGCGTTGTTGGTCCTTATATTCGAAGGACAATTGTTGATCACAGGTGCTTGTTGATCTGAAATAATAATTGTTCAATAAAAGAAGGAAGTTTGCCATTAAATTGCGATGTCGAAGAAAACGACAAAAGTTACATCAAGTACAAAAGTGAATTGATACACCTACCTACAGTTACATTAAAAGTGCAGATGGCCTCATTTCCAGCAGCATCACTCGCGTTACAAACAACATTTGTAGTTGCATCGACTGGAAATGAACTACCAGCGGCTGGATTGCAGGTTACTTCAGGAGTTGTCCCATCATCGTCAGTAGCTGTTGGATCTGGTGTCCAGGTTACCATAGCGTTGTTGGTCCTTACATTCGAAGGACAATTGTCGATCACAGGTGCTTGTTGATCTGAAATAATAATTGTTCAATAAAAGAAGGAAGTTTGCCATTAAATTGCGATGTCGAAGAAAACGACAAAAGATACATCAAGTACAATTAAGTGAATTGATACACCTACCTACAGTTACATTAAAAGTGCAGATGGCCTCATTTCCAGCAACATCACTCGCGTTACAAACAATATTTGTTGTCTCATCGACTGGAAATGAACTACCAGCGGCTGGAAAGCAGATTACTTCTGGAGTGGTACCATCATCGTCAGTAGCTGTAGGATCTGGTGTCCAGGGTACCATAGCGTCGTTGGTCCTTACATTCGAAGGACAATTGTCGATCACAGGTGCTTGTTGATCTGAAATAATAATTGTTCAATAAAAGAAGGAAGTTTGCCAATAAATTGCGATGTCGAAGAAAACGACAAAAGATACATCAAGTACAATAGTGAATTGATACACCTACCTACAGTTACATTAAAAGTGCAGAGGACCTCATTTCCAGCAGCATCACCTGCGTTACAAACAACATTTGTAGTTGCATCGACTGGAAATGAACTACCAGCGGCTGGATTGCAGGTTACTTCAGGAGTTGTCCCATCATCGTCAGTAGCTGTAGGATCTGGTGTCCAGGTTACCATAGCGTTGTTGGTCCTTATATTCGAAGGACAATTGTTGATCACAGGTGCTTGTTGATCTGAAATAATAATTGTTCAATAAAAGAAGGAAGTTTGCCATTAAATTGCGATGTCGAAGAAAACGACAAAAGTTACATCAAGTACAAAAGTGAATTGATACACCTACCTACAGTTACATTAAAAGTGCAGATGGCCTCATTTCCAGCAGCATCAATCGCGTTACAAACAACATTTGTAGTTGCATCGACTGGAAATGAACTGCCAGCGGCTAAAATGCAGGTTACTTCAGGAGTTGTCCCATCATCGTCAGTAGCTGTTGGATCTGGTGTCCAGGTTACCATAGCGTTGTTGGTCCTTACATTCGAAGGACAATTGTCGATCACAGGTGCTTGTTGGTCTGAAATAATAATTGTTCAATAAAAGAAGGAAGTTTGCCATTAAATTGCGATGTCGAAGAAAACGACAAAAGATACATCAAGTACAATAGTGAATTGATACACCTACCTACAGTTACATTAAAAGTGCAGATGGCCTCATTTCCAGCAGCATCACTCGCATTGCAGACAACATTTGTAGTTGCATCCACTGGAAATGAGCTACCAGCGGCTGGAATGCAGTTAACTTCAAGATTGGTCCCATCATCGTCGGTAGCTGTAGGATCTGGTGTCCAGATTGCCTTAGCGTTGTTGGTCCTTACATTCGAAGGACAATTGTCGATCACAGGTGCTTGTTGATCTTGATTGTTTTCGTTATTGTTGAATAAAAAAAGGAAAGAGAAAAAAGATAAAGTGTCCCGCTCCTTTTCATTATCAAGTACAATGGTAATTAATTTAATTGATGGATACTAATTAAGTGAAGCGGTTGTCAGTGATTTTTGTAAAATGTTCTTGTAAAACGTACCAAAGACAACGTTGAATGTACAGGTAGTCTCTCCTCCAGCCGTATCAGTTGCTGTGCAGTTGAAAGTGGTCTCGTTGCTTGTAAGATGTAATGCACCACTAGTCTCTATGCAATGTATGGGCAAGGAGTTCATAACGTTATCGGTAGCTGTGACGTCAAGGTCTGAGATGATATCGCTCACTACATCTTTATTCGTCCTCACATCGTTGCAACTATCTATCGTTGGTGGTGCACCGTCATCTGCAGCACAGGGTGTTCTGGACGAGACATTTATTATCGCAGGGTCTAAGTATCAAAGATTCACGTACGAAAGTGTCAAAGCGGTTAACAATCCTCTACGTTTCTGTCCGATATCTCCTGTGCCTAACAAGTTCAAGGCATTGGTAGAACATATCAAGGATATTCCCTTTGGACTACTCGTCACATGTCTAGTGATTCAAGTGCAGGTCTTGCCAAAAAAAGTCCTGTTTTGAGGATGTCTTTTTTTTTGTCACGCAATGGTTAGGGCCTACTAACGAATGCCATTCTTACAAGGTTACAAAAGTTCAAAGTTCAAAAAATGGCTTCTTTGCATTATTGCAGGTGTTTTTTACTCACCCTGTATGTAAAATGAGATTTCCATTCACATTTTTTTATATTTAAGCGGGTCCGAGAGTCACCACTCTTTTGTATTGTCTTTCTGATCAGTTCCTATGAAAGAAATGATAAACTAATGGGCCATTTTTAATGAGGGTAACATACTGTTTAGATTTTTTGTGATAAAAAAAACAAATGTCATAATTACATGTAATTTAATACATGTATATAGCTGGTGAACCATTAGCAACGTGTACGCCTACGTACCATAACAAGCCTGGCCGGAATCCGGAGGCGTTGCTGGGTTACAGTAACAGCACAGGACGCCCTCTCGTTGAGATATGCATTTTCCGCCGTTTTTGCAGGGAGAACTTGAACATACGTCTTGCAGCGGTGGATCATTTGGCACTCGGACTATTTAAAAGGAGGTATAGAATATGACCAATAATGAAGGAAAGATCACTGAGATTTAGTTGGCAATTTCTAAAATGAAGTTTGTTCGTTACAAAGGGACATCTTTAAATCGGCAAACACATGTTTAAAATTTAACAATGTTGCAAGTATAGGTACATGTAATACATTTTCAGCTTAAAAGCCATGACCTATAATGTGTAAAATGCGTATAAACCAATGATACAGTTCGTGTTTTTTTACAAGACAAACAAAAAGCTTTCCACTTTGTGTTTGTATGTTATTATAACGTAGGAGGGGGCACACTAGTGGCTATTGTCTGCCATCTTGATATGTTATCTATTGAAATACGTATGGGTAACTGTGTCTTTGGAAGAGTATCCCTAAAGCCTTTGCACTGTGCAAAGTTATATTACCATTGATCTTCATTGTATAATGGAAAGCAATTTATTTATTTATTTATTATTTATTTATTTATTTCTTGTTTATCCTGGGAGACCTTTCAGTGGAACACTGTTTTTCAAAGGTGCCCAGCAGTTATAACAAACATACAATAGTATAAAATAGAAAAACAAGCAATAAATACATTAAAAGATATAATTAAGAAGATAAATAAACAGTAAGATGAGACACGGTTAATCACGGTTGCTACATTGGCAGTAAAAAGACAAAAACAAGACAAACATGTACCATATAATATTAAACTATCAGGTTCGTGTAGAGGCGCTTAAAACTTGCAAGAGTATGGGAGGCAATGGATGTTTAAGTGTCGTAGGGAGGTTATGACGTTTTCCTGAGTAGGATTTGGATAAAGAAGGAATTAGATTACCTTGTGAAACAGACCTAGTATTGTTTGAGTGGGTACTAGAAACAAAATGAAAACAGTCACAAAGTTGAGGAGGCAATTTGGATGTTTAACTCTCATACACTAGAGTAGTTAAGTGAAAATCTCGTCTTTCACTTAGAGATTGCCATCTAAGAGTAGATGACATTACATTTTGATCTAATGGAGATCAATGAATTTTACTATGGGACTTTCCCAGTATAATGCGACACCCATATAATCCAATCAATAGGCCTAATTTCCATGACGTCACAATGACTGCGTCTTCATTGCAACGACAATAATGAGTGCCTGCGCAGTACGGTTCACATTGAGTGCGTAGGTATGGGTTAAATGCATTGAACCAATGGCTAAAAAATGCCACTGAAAATGTGACATCATAAAATCAGGTCTAAAATTTAGCCTACCTACCCACTGAGCATATCTGTGTCGTTACGCCGTTGCATTCCCCGGTTGCCACAGTAGGCAATAATGAGTTGAGACACGTATTGGTTCGGTTGCATGAATCTACATAACAGAGAAAACAAAGGTAACAGAGATTGAGAATTGAACCGCAAAGGAATCTAACAAAAAAAAGTAATGATCCCTTTTATTTTGTTAATTCTTGTAAATGTACTGTCGCGTTGTCAACACTTGGGATCCATTGCTTTCCATTTGAAGGGGTGGTTGAAGTGACCAAGTCCAGGATTTTTCAGGGTAGTTAGGTGGCTGAGTTGCCATCAACCAACATTTAGAATTTTAGTGACGTTGTAAGGAGTAATTAAACATTGTTGAGATAGAAGGGGTATAAGGTCCAATTCAGTGGCGGATGGGGGTGCTTGGGGTGATCCACCTCCCCTTTTGATACCCTCGCCCGCGATTTTTCCCCAAAACAGGATCCGATACACTCGAAAGAGGGCAACCTTTCTGTGTTATGCATATTGGTAGAATATCCTGAGTTTTAGAGAGTAAGTTATCAAAGGAATAAGGGTATTTAAATCAGCGACGCTATAGGCAGAGTCGTGGAGTGGCTAGAAGTACAGGATGAGTAATAAAGAAAGTGACAGAGATTAATTTTTTTACCCTTAAAAGCATGCAAATTTGATACACCAATGAAGCACGTATTAAGCGAGCACGTTCTTTCACTCATCTGTTAAAAACGTTACTGAAACTGATCTTTGCTATCAGAACTTATGCAAAAGAACAAATTTCTACAGCTGTCCATGGAATGCTAGATGTTTTGAAGTTATTCATCTGGGTGGGAACCAGATATTACCACACAGGAATTCAAATTCAAATGAGATTTAATGAGAGTCAAGACTGAAACATTACTTTCACCGTCTGATTTTGTGTTGTACATAAATCAAGTCCTATTTCTGAGAATGAAAATGGTGATTATTGTCTGTTTTGCTTTGCAAATTTTCTTTCATCGTATAGTATTCATCAATGCGTATCGGTGAATGCTCAGTGGTGGACAGCTACATTTTTGTGGTATTTCTATTAAATTTAAAATTAGCAATAACTTGTGAAAATAGAGTACACAAATTACGTGAAAGTTACTATCGTTAATAACATGGACTTAATTTATTCCTATTTATTGTTATTAAAATTGGAGCGTACCGCATATCTTTTTAGTATTTTTCGTTATTCGGTATAGGTGCATTTACATCACATGTACACACACTTACCAAAGCGAGCCTGTTTCTCAAATCCGTCTGGAAAGACGCAATCGTAAGTAGAAACTGATGATGGGGTACAAAAATCTATTTAAAAAAATTACAAGTACAAGGTGCATTACCTGCCATATTTTACCATTTTTGAGTTCTTACTGCAGTAGTTATTCTAGGCACATGAACATGGGTAAAAAAGACATGCGCAATACCATCAAGGCCGATAAAAGTTCGATGATGTTCTATTTTTGCGTTTCCATGGAACGCAATGGGATACTTGCATGGGATACTTGCATTGTTCTCTCTCACCTCTCTTCTTTAGAATTTCCCT